TTCTCAAGACGACTATCCTGTAAAGGGAAAGTTGGAGAATTTCGCTGGTGTTGCTGAATCCCAGATCACGTCAGCCCCCAGTCTATATACAGATGTGCCAGCTATGAACCTACAAAATAAGGACTGGTTGACCTCTGAATCTGGAAAGAGGGACTCGTCGAACGGCAGGATCGTCGGCTCGCATAAAGACATTGGCGTCATACAAGTCGGTGTCGACGACCTTATTCAACCCAACGCGATACCTGGCAGCGGTTTGGTGGCTACTGCTGACGGATATTGGGCAGCGTCCGGACCTTGTCAACAGCAGATGACTGGACATACACTAGTGGCGATGTCATCGACATCGGGGGCTCTCCCATCCATGCAACCTCTTCTGTCGCCTATTCCGACTCTTCGCAGTGCTAGAGTTGCACGATCTGAGCATGTAATGGGGCGAGCAACGGGAAGAGAGGCTATAACTGAGTCTGTCAAATTACCAGGAGTCTTGCAGATGATACATGGCGATGCACCCGTTAGTTTGAGCTCTGGATGGAGACAGAATCCGACGCTGAATACAAGGCCGCTTCAGCCCCAGCGATTACTGTCAGGGTCTGAATCCTCGATCCCGAGTCTGTTGGAGACTGGCTTGAGATGGGCTTTGACTCCGCCAGTGACATCGCCGGAGACTAACCATTTGCCACCAACAGCCGCCGTACGCGGCAGTGAAGGAGGTTCCTGCGCTATCTCGTCCGACAGAGAGAATATAATATCAACGATATCGCCTTCTTGACCCCCACAACAGCCAGATTCAGAAACAGGTGGTCCTCTATAAGGACTTTAGGGTCTGCTTTGACAGGGGGAGCTTGCAGACCCCCAGCAGTCGAAGGATTCGGGAATAATTCAGAGGAAAAAAACGTACTTGAGCAGTATGACTTCATCGAATGACTACGAGGTAGTAACGTTGATGACTTGAATAAATATAACGTGGTTTATACAAACGGCGGATTTTCCACCACTCCATCCCTGTTAACGTCAATGTCAATTACACCACCATATCGTCTTTAATCCTAAAATATTACTCGGAATTATTTACATGAATCACCTCTCCCTATTCTTCCTAAGTCCGGGAATTATGTCCGGGCCTGCCGCACTTCCCGCAGTTCCGTTTACTTGCTTTGCCCAGCGCAGGTTGGCTACCACTCCCGTCCATTTTCTTCTCGATCCTCTTCTTGATGTTCAGCTTTGACAGGACAATTTCTGGGCCCAGAGGTACTAATCCTGATGCACTAAGCCCTGATTTAATGTTTGTTTTCCCCTTACCGGCAAAGAACGTGGCCTTAAAAACGATGAAATCGATCTTGGTCACGTGGTTAATGTGTGACTTGACCAGCTGCTCATCCTGATAAGTGTATGCCCGCCCCAGAGGGCCGAAGCACCTGAGGCCTAGGGGCTGAAGAGGATTTGATAAATGAGGAGGCATAGAACCGCGACTACCTCCTTGCCCCTACAGAACCGGCCGAAACCGGGGAGAGATGTCTCAAGTGACCGTCAATCACTAACATGCAATAGACGCCATTCTTGCGATCAGCTATTTGTTTATCGAAATGCTGATCCATTCAAGCCTGTATTATTATTTTTCTATACGTTTTCAGTAGGCTTAATGATCCAATCTAGTAGGTGGTTGCACTCTGAGTACCAGTTTGCGAGGTGGTAGGCCCCTTTACACCTGATAAACGGCGGGATGCGCCAGCCTTATGTATTAATCCCCTGAGTCACCGTGGCCCATTCGCGATTACCTGGCTGGGTCCTTTTTGGCTTTCCACTCCGTTTGACGCGTATCATAACCATAGTTTGGGTAATAACGCCCATCATAAGCCCGGTTACGTCAAAGTTTAATAAATATCGATATCATCAATGTCATACTAAAGGCTGTAAATACGGGGTTGAAGCAACGTTTGTCATTTGACAAAGTTTCTAGCCCATAGCTTGCCAACTTTCTCTCCAGCACGCTTTGCGGCAGCAGATTGGCCATATCTTCCACGTCAGCAAGCTTTGGCGGGAAGCCTTACGAATACAGATCTAAAATATGTTCAAAAACGGCCTCTTCTTCCAGGTCAGTAAGTTTCCGAGAGTCGGGCGTGATATGGCGTCGCGACGGACGGCCTTTCATTCTGGCGCGTAGTGTTAATTCAGGCATAGTATGGATTTTTTACCACCTGAGTTGCGGGAAAATTGCCATTTTCTCAAATAGCTTGAACAGCTAGGAGTATTCTCCTTCCACTTCAATCTGATCCCATGTTGTGCGGTTGAACGGCATCATGTCAAAATAAGATGAGACGCATCGGGGTGGAAAATCCGCTGTTCGCTTATAAATCACGTTATCAATACAATCCTCTTCTTTAACACAACACTCAATTGCAACGCTACCAAATAAATGATACCACTATAGGAATTCATCTTTAGACTCTGGTGATTCTCTATTTATCTTATATACCAGTACTATCTACCTTTTCCTTGCGGAGCCTATATGTCGCCTAAGCCCCCTTTCTAAAACACGCATACTACCCCTTGTTCTAACTTAGGGTAGTTTATCAAAAACTGACAGAATATTAAGGAATGACAGTTAAACATCCAGATAACAATTAAAATCAAAAGCGATACATCGTGCTAATCTAAACCCCCTCTTCAAGCCAATCCGAAGGCCAACGCAATTCCATGGAATCACAAGCCCATTAACAGAACTGTCTGCCGTTCTGATCCTGCACCATGAAGCCAGACACGCCAAACTTGTCGGGGATCGTTCCCGCCGCGTCCAGGAAAGTCAACGGTGCGGGGGCTCCAGCCTGCGGGTTATTCGCAGCCTGCAATAGATTAAAGCCCTTGCTGTTCGCCAAGTCGTACTTAAGCGTAACGTCAGTCGGCAGATTGGGACTGCTGTACAGAGTGCACGACCGCTTGCCACCATCCTCCGGCATGAATGTATGCTTCCACACCCAGTTTGTGCACTTATTGGGTTCCTCTAAACACTTGGCGGCACAGTCGCAGGCGGTCTTGAAGCCATCCTTGAAGAAGAAGTGTTGCTCCGTGACGACGCCTGTCATATCGATACCCCGGTAGTACCGGACGCAGCCGCCGTCACGATTGGGAGCCTGAAGGTTGGGGAAGCGGTCTTTGGTGATCTTGCCCTTGCAGATTGCCCAGTCTGAGTAGCGGTCAAAGTCTGGGAAGATGTTGCTGTCTGGGTTGTCGCAAAGAGTGGAGTTGAGGGGAGCCGCCAAGGCAGCGGAGGCGAGGAGGGCAGAGATGGCAGCAGTGGTGAAATGCATTTTATCGAGAGGCTTAAGTTGTCGAGCGAAGATAGATGTGGTTGAGTTGATTTGTTTTGTTAAGCAAGTGATTGATAGTAGCGATGCTGGTGAGAATTGGGACTTTTGCTAGGACCTTGATGATCGTTATATACACTTCTGAATTGACAGATAAATGTTACTGGAGTATTTTTATCTGAAGAACGTCACTTACACCTCTAGCAACAATATGATAACTAGACCCGGAGACCCCACAATCCGACTATATGAGACCTGTGCGGCTGTGACCTGGCCTATCACAGAGAGAGGATGTCATTGACAAGAGACCCCAGACATACTAGTTAGCGCAGATTCTTGATAGAGGAGACATATATTTCAATTAAGCTATGCTCTTCTTGGAATGGCCTGGTGTGACTCAACCCTTCTGCGGCTTTGCCCTGCTGTTAACAGTCTGATGGCTTGGCAGTACACCCTCTTCAATACTCGATAGGGCTGTATAGCATCGATGTGGCTCAGTATTGAAACCCCTAAAAATAGCGACCGAGGTTCTAGATCTCAAGCCACGGCGCCTTCTCACAATGGGGATTCAGACACATCCACGTCAGCCCAGAATGATTGCGTCACTATGAATTATTCTACTTAGAGTTTCGGAACAACAGGAATTTGGAGCGCTGAAAGCCTCATTAGTGAGGCCAATCTGATCGCCCCAGTATCCACTATACCGCTTAGTGCGACGTAGTCAATCCATCTATACTGTGATATTTCTCCGACTTGGCTGCTATCCTCGGGGGGCCCTTTTCCTGCTCTAGAGAGAGCTTTCGCTCGTGCCCATGATTCTCTTGACAATTTTGCGCGCCTGGCCATCCAAGTCTTGGGCATTATCACCGACTTCTCCTGTGTCTAGAAGCAGCTTAACAGTAGACTGATGTCCTCTCGCCGCACCACACAAGGTGCAACGCTACGATCTATGTAAATGCTGGGGCAATTTGTGTCTGTTTCGCATCTTTGGCTTCCCTGCACAACGAAGCGAGCCGTTGTGCTGAACGGACTTTTTCACCATTTCGTGGTTACTTCTTCTTTTTCTTCTTCTTTTTCTTCTTCTTTTCTTTTCTTTTTTTTTTTTGATGATTTATAATCCCAAGAAACATAACTCAATCAACACCAAGATGACCCATTTGGTCTTCTTATTCGCTAAAGCGCTTTAGTATAGGCTGTGCAGCCGATGCAAACCATTCGATCAACTAAGCTCAACAGGATTCGGGGGGAAAATTGCACAGCTATTTTACCATTCTACATCCCAATTGCTTGGAGCCGACTCTTCTCGCGCTCAACAATCCAGTACCATTCCAGCAGCGCTACTCACCTAAACCTGTAAGGATATGATTTGAAGAGGGGTATCGATTCTTGCGTTATTCACTTTCTACCGCAATAAAGGCCAGTAGTGGAGATCTTGCAAAGCACGATCAGAATGAATAATAAGTGGGGACGTGGCGTGCACGGGCCATGATTTCATGTATCAGGGCACAATACCAAAGGGCACGGACCATCAAATCGTGTAGCAGGACCTGATACGCGGGGTAATTGGTGCAGTAGGGTTATCACAGGGATGACCAGCCAATGGGATTGCAAAACGTCCACTTTCAGTGAAAGTGGGAGGATCAATAGAGATGTAGGTTCCACAATGCGCACGGCCAACGATGTCCCGGGGTAATTGTGTCAAGATGTCTTCCTCCTGCCTTGCAGCGCTCGATCATACATCTCCTTCGCCTCCACAAGCTTGCCTTGCTTTGCATAGAGATTCCCCAGGTTGTTGACTGTATTCAGAGTCGATGTGTGATCGCGTCCAAGTGTTTTCTCTTTGCCTTGTAGTGCTCGGTCATACATCTCCTTCGCCTCCACAAGCTTGCCTTGATCTACATAGAGGAGCCCCAGGTTATTAACTGTGTTCAAAGTTGATGTGTGATCGCATCCAAGTGTCTTCTCGTATCCTTGTAGTGCTCGATCATACACCTCTTTCGCCTCCACAAGCTTGCCTTGATCTGCATAGAGATCCCCCAGGTAGTGTATCGCGCTTATCACGCAATTACTAGTAGTATCTTTGTTCAACTCAAATACATATTTGCGCATCCACAACGAACAGCACTCCGCATGTGGGAGAAGTCTTCGCTGCAGAGTCCAATACTCCTCTTTCTCACGGGCTGGTACGGAGTGGCCGATCAGCATAAGCGCCAGGCGCGCAAACTCCTTTTTGTGCTGGTCGTCATCCAGATTTGACACCCATCGGTGGACCACTGGGTGTATGGTGTAGCTTCCTTTTGGTTCTGTCCGGGTTTGAACCATTGAAAAGCGGAGTAGCAGGCTCATTGCTTTTCTAAAACGGGTCACATCATGTGCCATGTCAAGCAACCATGTAGGCCACTGCTTTTGAAAAGGCGGAGCCACGGTCGCTTGCAAGATTCCATGCCAGAAATGCTTATTATCTAGAAATGCCCACAGTCGTAATATGTTCACCGAGTCGTTACTCTGGGTCTTGATTGTGTGGAGAGATACCGCCCATGTAGTGGCGATACTTCCTTGCTGATAGTCTGTCACGGGATTGTCGTCAGAGTTCATAAGCTTTGTCCACTGTTCGTTATAAATACGATTGTATGATGTAACATCTATGCCTGTCTCACGCATGTATGATGCTGCTTGTGCCAGAGCCAGAGGCAGGCCTTGTAGCAGCTCAAGCAAAGTCTCATAAGCCGGGTCCGAATCTGCGATCTTAGTTAGCGATAAGGGGTACGTTGTTTATAGATGTGTTAGTACTTGTGTAGATACTCACCCAGTTCTTCCCCATACCATCTTTCTAGAATGGCCTTACTAAGGTCTCGATTAACATTTGTTAAATGTTTCGGCTTACCCAGCTGCTGAAGTCGTGATAATCGGGTCGTCACCAGCATTGAACCATGATCCCCAGGTAAATATTGTCGAAGGTCATACGCTCCTGTTGCGCCGCCCTGTTGATAGTCTTGATCAACGTTGTCAAAGATTAGTAGCCAGCGGGTATTATCTGGCCGAGCGAGCCACTCCATCACATCGGCCACCGCAGCGTCGAAGTCATCTTTGCTGGAGAGTCCCACGTCGGAATTGCGGCTCGTCCTCCTCAGTTCAGGGATTCGGATGGCACACTTGGCAAGACTTTGCCTAAGCTGGTCTTCAGACCGTCCATCTAGCCAGAAGACCGCGCTGAAACTAGCTTTATGGCGACGAGCAAAGTCGATGGATAACTGCGTCTTACCGATACCGCCCAGTCCATACAGAATGCACACCTTCCGCCGTTCGGTGGGGCACCGCTCGGGCAGCAGGTACTGTTCGAGCGTGGCCCTATCGGATGGACTATCGATAAAGTTATCTGATGCAGGCATACCTTGTAGGCTAAAGGGTACTTGGAAGGAATTGTGAGCTTCAACAAGTTGGAGTCAGCGATTTCATGCCAGATAGATAGATTGTGTAAGTACGAAACAGTAAGCGAACACCAAACTATCCAGGACTTATTCGAAGAGGTGCTTAACTAGCACACCGAATGTGGCCCCAGATGAGCAGGAGTTGCTCTCGAAACGATGAACCTGACTTACGAGCATTAGGCGCGCTGACGACAGGTAGCACAGTTAGAACCGTAAGCAACTCCCTTGCGTATGCGGCGGCGGCAGCGGCAGCATATCTCTGCCATTCCTTGTTCTTATGAGAGTCTGAGTAGTCACAGATTCCCCGGATCGGTAAGCAAGGAAGTATATCCATCAGGCCAGCAGCCTCCATCTCGAAACATATGACGCCTAGTTGTCGAGCAATCCTATCGCGTTGCGTAGCACTTCGCATAACTTGGTTTCCTGAAGCGATCCCACCGTAATAGATGAGCGGATCGTATGTGCTCCGCCAACTTCGCGATACTAGCTTCGAATGGTCGCATTCGTTGCAGCCAGGTGTTACGGTGAATATATGATCATACGTTGAGAGGAAGAGGCAATCCGCGGAGCTCGGACGACCGTATCCAGCTAGTCCTTCGAACCTGTCTCTCAGAATGCTCGGAACCTGTCCAACGTTTCGTTCGTGTTTAGCTTGCAAGGAGGACACAGCTGTGCTCAGTAGCTGATCTGGGATCTTCGGGGTCGCAGTATGTTGTATTTGTCCGTCTCCGATAACTTTTCCGAGATCATACTGCGTCACAAATGTTCCGACAACGACGTCCCCTAAACGTATATCGGCTGGGCCTGGCGCTCCGCCTCCAATTCCCACCATCAAGCCCAGGCGGATCGAGGAGAAGGTACGAACCAGGTTTGCCACCACATTCGACGCGTTATTTGTTCCATATCGGGCTTTGGGCAAGCACGCAATAACGATGTTGTGGTTCTCTATGCTGCCGAGCTTATAGGTGTTGGTATCGTTCATAAGGCGTGGCAAATTTTTATGAACTTCGTCCAGCATGGCCTGGGCTGCGGCCATCTCTATAGGTAGCGCGCAAATCCAGGCGATGGTGTACTGATCGCGCGAGAGGAGCGGCCAGTCTCGCGACCAACGAATATCATCGTCCGGGTCATGATGTGCGAGCTTTCGTCGTTTTTGAGGTTGAGGAGAGCTCGTTTCGGCAAGGTGCTGGTACCGAGATTGTCTCCCCTCCATCACGCCGAGGATCCATCTGGTTACGGCTAAAACGGGCGGTTCCTCTTTATGTGTAGCAGTCGGTCTCGAAAAATGTGGTCGGGTGGTTGAAGTGAACGGCGTGCAATGAAAGGCGGTGATTGTCATAGGGATACGTGGTTGGAAACAGCAGAAAGAAAAAGGTAGGGGTGGTTGAACGTGCATTAGACACCTCATTTATGGTGTCCCTGTCAGGCTCTCACATGCACTGCTGCCGCTAATTGTGGCTGCCACCGCGCTCGTTTAGCAGTTAACCTGACTGGCTCGTGATTCCCCACCGTAGGGGTAAGTGCAGCCAGCCACGCCAAGTGGCAGAGCAATGGAGCACAAAACCACTATTAGCAGCCAATTGCCTCGTTGCCCCGCTTATCATTCTTTTTTATTTTCTTCGATTATACAAAGGCGGTAAAGGAGAGGTACGATATATGTATATATTCGAAAGTCGACTTACGGATGACAAAGTTATCGTAGTATAATGGAATGACTACAATTCATATTCTTTCCAGTCGGTCGCTAATGCTCACAATCTCTCCTCCCCAGATCGTATTAAATGGGGCATCTCCCCCCACCCAACCTCTAGATAGGACTACTAAGTAAGTATATGCTGTTTCATATTGTCCTCGATCTAGTCCATCCACAAATTATCACCTGGCAGACCGGATCTGACCCTATTCTCAGCTGTCGTATAAAGATAAACACAGACATTAAGGAGATTGGCGGGGACGTTGCCCAGGGCTACAGACGCTAACACTTTGAATGGAGAGTTGTCTACCCTGAGGTGATCTTTGCAGTCCAGCTGATTAGCCCTGAACCAACCAAGATATATGGGAAAATACATGCACGTTTAGGACTCAAAGCAAAACCGCATTTGGTATACATAATAGCTGCTTCCGGCAAATTGTAATAAAGACTGAGCCTCTCGAGCTTCTGCAGCTTTGCTGGGGGTAAAGTGGGATGGCTACATGGCTCATGAACAGAGGCGCGGGTCATTGTGACTAAGCATATATAAATATAATAGACAGGATGGAATGACGGAGATGGAGTAGATGTTATACGAAGATGATAAACATGTGAGTTTCAGTAGACGATAGTAATGAATGTTGTTGATTAGGTCTGGAGTAGTTAAGTTCTTGAACTCGATAAGGGTCAGCCGACGGAAACGCGTCGCGTTTCGTGTTTTAGGTTTTCTAATTTCGTTAGTGCGGTACGAGAAACGCAGTGCGTTTCCACCGGGGGAAATATGGCGCGAAAATACTAGACGGTGATTGGTCAAAAACAGGAAACGCAATGCGTTTCTGCTGATAATTCTTGAGTAGGCCGTTGCTGACTTGTAGTTAGGAAAAGTGGTTCAAATACTTGGATGGTTCACATGCTTATCATGTACGTTATATTATCTACTATTTATAGGTTTTAACCCCACCTTTTCTTTATAAACAAGTAGATTTTAGGAATCACATTACCAACTTCCCCGCTTCTCCTCCACCTGCGTCATTTATTCAAGTCCTGCTCCATCTTATCAGCTTGTGTCAGTCTTTCCTTGAGGACGCTGACTATGGCCAGCGGCAGATTGCAAACAACAGTGGAGCCAGCGCTTCCAGCATCTGTGCCATCTTTGTCTTTTCACTGCTTTCCCAACCTGCCCGTTGAGCTAAGGCTAAGAATCTGGCGCTACTCTTTCGTTCCCCGTTGCGTCGAAATTCACGCCCGCAGATCGCATTACGCCGATGACTTTCAACATGGCGGTGTGCCAAAATGGCAAAGCCGTTGTAACAACCCTGTTGCGCTGTCAGTCAGTTCCGAGGCGAGATCTGCCGCATTGGACTTTTATCCTGTCAAGTTCCCCCTTGCGACTGTTGCGCCATATGAGCATGCTGGCGATAGTATAAACGACTTGAATCGTGTGTTATACATTAAACCTGCGGTCGATACCGTCGTTGTACTCAGCGATCTGGATTATCGCAGAATATCACGACTATTCACTGACTTGCGTCTTGGTGATCCGGAGGGAAAAGGTTTGCAGAGATTGGCTGTCAGCGCCAGCTGGACGTATCATCAAGGAGCTGGCGACACGATCAGAATGCTTATTAAACATATGTTCCCCGAGCTGGTTGAGATGACTGTGTTTATGTATGATGAAAAAATGCCCCCTACCGATTGGACTGGCGGAGTGTGCGCGCTGGAAGATTGCAGCCAGACAGACTACTATAAACGGTATGCAATGGGAAGAGGCCAACAGATGAGGGATGGTGATAAATGGATGGTGATTGGGAAGAAAGAGTTAAGAGTGATGGAGCTCACTTTCAGACATGGATGGTAGTGGAATTATTCTTCGAGGCAACTTCAGTTAGAGGGTTAAATATATAATAAATCTAGCGTGGTAACAACCTAGGTTTCATTAGCTTTAAGGGATGAGATAGGACAGGTCTACTTACTTTTCCAATATATCGAACACCCACCAGGATGCCATCTTCATCCACAAACTCAGACTCATCCCCAAAATCTATAGTCATCATCAAGACATGTCAAGCATGTCTCCACGATCTCGGCGTAATTGATTCCAGTCCGCCGAGGTAGCTTGGTCCGCGCTAGCATCACTAAATGCTGCTTCAGAGATTCTAATGGTTTATGGTAGCGCAAGAAACGGAATGGGTTCAATCGTATCCGATGGGTACCGTAAATCACGTAGTTCGTCCTGATCACGGAGAATATTCGGGATTTGTTTTATCTTCTTTACCAGATCTTGTCGATGCTCTGGCTGTATATCGCGACGTCGTGTTTTCAAGTGCGTAGCAACCTCATCAGTTACAGAGGCAAAGCAACAAACCTGGCACACAAGAAGGTGGTAAGTAGAGAGAAGAACGTAGGGATAAATCGCACTTCATGGTTCAGATTGCAAGTTTGAAGCCGTCATAGTGATCTTCATAGTGACTTAGTCACTGATAGTAAGATTTGAATTACAAGTGTGCTTCGATTAATAATAAAATAATTTAGTAGTATGAAATACCCATAGCACTTTACGCGAAATGACGCGTCGCGTTTTGGGATACACCCCTGTTCTGATCAGCACTACTATTCCTGTATACAGGATAAAGTCAAATCAACTCTACACCCTGGCAATAATCAACCCTACTAGGTTTAAAGTGGGTCAATAAAATCAACTCTAGTAGAGTTGATTTGGTCATTAGTTACTAGGGTAATGCATCACCCGCTGCCACATTTCTACCCACTTTTCCTTATACCTTTCTCCTTTCCTTCTCACGTTCTGCTTCAAGGCCTTGGCTCCTTGCTCTGAGATCCCCTTCGCTCCTCGCGGTGCAGGTTCCTTGGCGTTTACTTTCGTCGAGGCTGTTGCATAGTGCTCTAAGGTCTTCCTCCACTTATTTTTCTGCATTAGATACATACTGGAAAAGCGATATAGCTCTGATTGGAGTGCAGTCAACACTCCTACAATGACAGGGAATCGGTTCGTGGCGAATCCTTGGGTCAATTTTCTCATCGCTCTTCTGGAGAGGCCTTGGAGGCTCTTTCATGGTACATCAAAATCGGAATTAGGACCACTGTTTTCAGACGTCATTCAGATGTTTCTTAAAGCAGGTGCTAGTTTGGAGTCAAGGTTCCCAGTTGTAGTCCAAGTGAGAAGTTTTAGTAGCTCTCTAAGAATTGGTTTGGCAAATCAGCTCACTTCTTTACTAATATCTCCCCCCCCCCCCCCCCCCCCCCTGGCGTCGCAGTACGTCCTCTTCGAGATGAACGCAAAAGCAGCTGTTGATTTTCTCATGGGGAATTATTATCATCAGGAACCAAAAGTCAGTCCTAAGACTCAACAATCCTTCTCTACTACAAAACGATATATAAAGGCTCTGGCGACAGGACGCGTCGCATTTCACTCTGAGCCCCTGTCTTAATCAGCGCCTCCATTTCTATTTATGTAAAAGTATAAAATCAACTCTACATCCTGGCAATAATCAACCCTACCAGATTTAAAGTGGGTCAATAAAAACAACTCTACTAGAGTTGATTTGGTCATTAATTACTAGGGCAGAGGCGAGGATGCGCATGATATGATTCATCCCACTCCCGAAACTTATCAGGTACCGGTATGTAAGGAGCTGCGCTCCTCTCGGATACATGTAACTTAGAAGTAATAACAAGACAATCAACCCTTTTACTTCAACATACCAGTGGTAATTGGTACAGTAGGCCCAGAGTTGCGGTGAAGGACGTGATCCGTACGTAAATCGTCACAACTGCCAACATAAACCAATCAGGTTATTATTTACTTCGCTGGCCCGCCTCGAGCAGCAGCGTGACAACTGCCTCGTGCCCATATTCGGTAGCCGCCTGTAGCGGCGTCCGACCACGGTTGTCCTTGGCCTCGATGTTGGCGCCTTTCTCGAGCAGCAGCTTGACGACGGCGTCCCGCCCGTTCTTAGCGGCGCACGATAGCGGCGTCGAACCAAAGTCGTCCTTGGCCTCGATGTCGGCGCCCTCCTCGAGCAGCAGCTTGACGACCGCCTCGTGCCCCTCCCTGGCGGCCCACGACAGTGGCGTCTGACCATGCTCGCTGTCTTTCGCCTCGATCTTCGCATCCTTGTCTAGAAGTAGCTTGACAGCCGCATGAAGGCCATAATATGACGCTATCATGAGATCCGTAAAATACTTGGTAGTCATCATACCTGTAGTTTTCCAATAAATTCCAAACCATGCCGAGTAGCTATTCGAATCAGGATTACAAATTCTCAGGGCGAGAGGTATAATGGCGGCGCCATTGATGACACAAGCCTCGCGGAAGTGAGTGCCCCAAGTTTGGGCCGAGTATTCTAAAAAGGTATATCTATCGAAAGAGTGACCGGCTTTTCCATTCAAATCTGTCGGTAGACTAACGTTAGAGTTAAAGAAGTTCAAATAGAGCACGCAGAGCTCCGCAAGAACGGTGTGTGCCTCTTGGATAGTGATGGAGTGATGCCAGTGCAGCTCTGACGAAACAGTTGTGGGCGATGCCAAATCTACGAGGAGAAACTCGCGAGCTGTTTGGTGAATGAAATAAATATTGCCTTGATGGATTGAGACGAACAATCCACACCAAGATCTGAGACGCATCTTGAAGTCCTCGTCATCCTCCAAGTCGAGGTCGTGAATAGACTGCGATTTGTAGTCAATATTCACGGCAACGTTCATTTCTGAGAGGGTTAATGGCCGGCTCGCTGCCAAGATAATACTCAAGACTTTCCGAACCATCGGATCATCCTTAGTCTTATTAAGAATTTGCTCATACGCCTCGTTGATACTCCTCGGAAGTGTTGCAACAGCGGACTCGACCCCCTTTAGTGTCTTTTTAAAGTCGTCTTTCTCCAAGTAGTCGAACACAAGGTATACCCAGAGATATGTGCGGTGGGTAGTCTCCTGTAGTCTTTTCTCTAGGTGGCTCTTGATTTGGGTTGAGAAGCGCTTCTCAATCGCCAGCTGATTGGTCCGGCGCGTAATGACGTGATTTACCTCCTGGCTAATCGTTTCTGACTCTTCCTCTCCTGGTATATGGATATTTGGAAAAGCGTCCAATAGGACGCGGAATTTGGACACAATCTGGTCATACGGGCGGCATGTTAGAAGATACTTCAACTTGCCATAGCCCAACTGGTCGCTGCGGAATTGGCTCTCCACATTCCGCATGAGGTCCGTAAATTCCGACTCAGCACATTCGTCCAGGGCATCAAGGACCATGATTACAGGTCCTGCCTGGGGATCTTTTATAGTGTTTCGTAGAACCTTCCAGAGCGAGTCTGTAGAGTTAATCAAACCTTGCCCATCCTTACGGAATTGTGGCATAGCATGTTCAATCAAACATGACTTTTGAGAGAAGAGTTGATGAAGCAGTGCGCAAAGCGCTTGCCGGACAGTGTTCTGATCTTGGTCTTTGAAGAAGAAGTAGCAGATAGTTGTCGATCGTGGCAGGCCGTGGTCGATCAGGTACTTGGCCAGTACCGACTTTCCGCAGCCAGGATCCGCCGTGACTAGCAGGGGACCAGAGTCCTGTTTCAACCACCTCTGGAAGTGTTCGTGCTTGAGGAACCATAGGCACGTGCCCTCAACCCTTTCTTCCACTCGGTCTTTATACCACTCATACGTGGCGTCCTTGCCGCTGGTTGTGAGGCGGAACAATTGGTGACACCTCTCTTCTTCTTTAGACAGCCTCTCCTTGGCTAGGTCTTTCTGGACTTGGAGCTGCTCCTTTGCAATGTCCCGGTGCTCTTCTGCAGTTTCTTGAAGGCCTGTGGATAGAATTAGTATGCATTGATAGTATGATTTTGAACTTTTGAATTACCGGATAGAATATCGCCTAACTTCTTCTCAGCCTCAACCCTATTAGGCGGGGTCTGGCGCAGAAGATCTTTCGCATAAGCAGCTGCCACCATGGCCGCGAAGCCCTGCCACTCCTTGTTCTTATGAGAATCAGAGTAGTCGCATATACCGCGTATAACCAGACATGGGAAGTGGTTCATCAGGCCTGCCGCCTCCATCTCGAAGCAGAGGACGCCCATTTCCGCCGCCAACTTGTCCCGCACAAGCGCATCCTTCATCAGTTGATTGGCACTAGCTATTAGTCCGTAGTGGATGGCTGGGTTTTCGTCTTCTTCATCCCGTTCGGCCCGGGCCAGTAGATGGAATGGATCGTCGCCGCACACCACACTACAGCCTTCGGACGAGTTTGGAGGATGTGTGATGGCAGCTCGGTACAGTCTGTCGCTATTGGCAGGTGGGCGGGAGTACTTCTTTCGCTTTTTAATCTTCTTCAATGCCATGTCCACGTCCTCATTAAGCCGGTGGCCCTTCAATTCGTACCTACCCTTAAGGGCACTGACTGCTGTCCGCAGCACCATCGGCGGTTGGTCTAAGACTTGTGTTTCTTGGAAAGACTGATTCTGGATTGTCTTGCCAAAATCATATTGGAACACCCCGCCTTTCCCGCCATCACGGCTGCTGACCACAATGTCGCCGAGACGTATGTCATGATGTGGACTTGGCGCACCACCACCAATACCGACTAGGAGTCCGATGCGGATATTCGGGAAGCTGCCAAGCATGTCTCTTGCTACGGCCGCGGCAACGGCCGTACCGTACTCCCCGTCGGGCAAGACGGCAATCACAATATTATGACTTCCGATCCTGCCCAAGGCATAATTGTTATTATCGTTCTGGGCCACTTCTCGAGGGCCCTCGTGTTCTTCGTCGAGGAAAGCCTGGGCAGCGACAGACTCGATAGTGAGGGCGCAGATCCAGCCAACTGTGTAGTCCTGGGGGTTCGCCATGATTTGCGATATGATGCCAGGAGAAAGCAAGGTACTGATTAAGGTAAATTGGTCGACCATACGACAAACAATGGTTCTGAAACCGGAGATGTAGAATGCAAAATTGTCAAAAAGTAAACCAGAGACAAAGTGACAGAAATTTTGAACAGGCAGAAGAGCAGGCTCTCACCAGGCTGCATGAATGAGGGGGTGGCGTAAATTAGACGCCTCTCTTCGCAGTGTTGCCGCAAGCTGAGCATGCTCAACGCGTGATTGGCGATAGGCGTCCATGCCAACACCATAGCCTCTTTATATAACGGCCGAATACGAGGGCTGAAACCCAATCGGCAGGGGCTCCAGCGCAAAAGTGGCGTACTCAATGCTACTTGTTGCAATCAGGTTGACCAACTAGCATGCCCTGATCGTTGGTTTTGAGCAGCAAGAGAGCCTATATGGGACACGCGTTCAGACGCGTCGGTAACGCATAGAGTAGCGATTGTAGTCGCTATAAAAATCGATGCATGGAAATCGGTCGGAGATAGACGCATACGTGAGAATGAACAAGGGGTAGGCGACAATTTGGGGTACACGACAATTAAGAATAGAAGAGTAGGGTTAGAAGGACCGAGCTCCGTCGTAGGCTTGAGCGCCATGGCCTGACGAATCAGTTCTAAAAAGAATTAACAATAATTGTTGGCTAGATCTCACATTTGTCGCGACAGACATTGATAAAATCGGAGCCAGAACTTGACGCGCTGCTATTAAAGTGTTGTCTTGCCTGAACGTGTAACCAAGAACCAATCAGAAATCCAAGTCAACCCCTGTCAAAATCGAGTTGACCCCAACGCTAGTCCATTTTTCGAAATTCAAGTCTACCCCTTGTCAAAAATCAATTCTACCCCCTGTAAAGTGGGGTAAATTAAATCAATTGTACAACAATTGATTTTGGACTGTAGGACTAGGCTTTAGGCTTCGACGCGTGTCCAAAGCCTCGGCAGAGATGGTTGACATGATTGCAACCCAGGACTTGATTTGAAGCTAGAGCAGAAAAATCCGTGCCTGTAATGTAAACAATTGAACGAAAACTCGAATTGCTTATTGACCTGCTCTTCTGGTTAACTGTCAGCATTCCCACTCTGGAGGGCAATCAACGAGTATCTACTCTCCCTCTCGGCTTAGCGGTTCTTGATTAATGCGCTGGGCTTGATGTAAGTATGAGTCTCACAGCGGCTCAGCAATTTGGGCTCGGGCACTCTACAACGTGTGTATGCAGCTACAGTAGGGGCAAGGTATTTAGGCAGCCGTCTGGGGATGTCTGGCATTCATGCTGCCGCATGGAACAGATCAGGTCAGCCTTGCGCTATTAACCATTTGTCCGAAATTCGCCTGCCAGCCACTTAGTCATTCAGTGCGGAAGAGGGTGATATTTCACCGCCATGACGTTTTTAGTCACCACCTAAAGTCGATGGATGGGCCGATCAGCACTAAAGTAGGCAGAGAACAAGACCGATGTCATTCGTTTGCGAGAAAAAAGGGCTAGGGGAATTGCTAGCTACGCAAGCACACAAACTAGCATAAATGGGACTTGGGCAAGCGCTGGTTGATCCAAGCTTCAAATGATAAGCAGTGAATACCGTAAGGCTTGCCTAATCTGTCCCGGCAATAGTATCTCACCGACAAGGTCCACGCAACGGGCGTCACCGGGCTCGGCCACTGCTCGGGGTAAATTAGGAATAATATGGTGACATACAATTGTTTCTAGAAACATATATAAATAGGCACCCTTCTCTTCCTCTTCCTTATGTTTCTCAGGTTATTGCACTCTTTCGCATTACTATTTAATCTATATTATTGAACTCTATCTATCATGCCAGAGGAACTGTCCCAGTCTAAAATCCCCAAAACCCTTGAAGAGTTCAAGGGATCTGAGAATCGACTTTGCTTGTATATATAATAAATAATTCAAACTTACCCTGTTCTGTCCTTTTGGGATGTTTCCTCGGGCCGAATTAGGCATTTCCAACGAGTAGTTTGCTATACTTTTGGCCATTATCTGCCGCCACGAGACATGCCCCTTTGCTGTTGCTCCTAATCCTGCCCAATTCTCCTACTACGCTATTCATAAACGCTGCTGTATTCTAAATGAGCTTCAGGAATTGGCCCTACTTAGTAGTCCATCTACCTCCTTCAACGAAAACATGGGGCTGGAATGCACAAATTTTTATCTTAATCCCATTAGTATATTACGGAGAAACTGGAGTTCGTCGGCTACCCTATGTCATGCTAGCGCCCTTTCATTTCCCACCAAAAATCATTCGTCGGTTGCCAAACTACGCGAGGGATAATAATCTCTGGTAAGCAGAATTCCCAGTTCAAAAAAAACAGGGCAGGAGGGATAGAAACTTTATATTCAGTTCTTTGCATCTTTAGGGTATTATATGTGTCATATTTTTTCTCAACTAACTATCTGCATCATATTTCCCCATGTATCTTCCTTGCTAACTGTTTAGATCTAGATTTTCGTCAAGTCCATATTCCTGAAAGATTGTTTGCAAGGCAACCAGTTGTTGGAAACTGCCGTTCGCTACCAATACATACCACCAATGTTGAAATTCCAACGAACAACAATATCCCGGGCAGAGTTTCATGAGATGCGTCGCTTTGCTGACTATTAATACCAGCAATGCGAGGCCACGGTCGACTTTTGCTACGTCGTTGATATGCTTCCAAGCATACCCCTTGGCATGGTAATTTGGGCCCTCTAATGACCGGTGTTTTCGTAACCACTCTTTCTAATACTGGACATCTTTCTCCTCGAGTTCTGACAGTCCGCGACGCCCACTTGCGAACTCGAGGAGCTTCTCGACTACTAAGTCCCACAGATGATTGATAGCCCGTCTATCAACAACGTCGAAGCTTGAGCGCATCCTGGATTGGTTCAAAGCGGCGATGTGCCGGTCGGACTGAGTTTGCTTCTAATAACGTTAGAACAATTGCGTAATGGTTGAGGAAGGTCTATTATCTGACTTGAGGTTCGAGGCTTGCTTAGGGACTCCAGCAACACGACTAACTCTCGATAGTTAGCGTAGAGTAATCAATGCTAAGGGGTAGGATTATTCTTTTGTGTTTTCTTCATACTCTAGTACTCTTCATCGTTTGCTCTGTCGCAAACCTGGTATTTATCATTCTGTTGTTCTGTTGTAAAATACAGGATAATTTGTGCAAGAGAATGAAAATACGGTGGTGGTAGTACAATCTTCTATCGTGAAACCATTTGTTCCCGTGAAAAACAATATAGGAAGCTAGACGAAAATAAAAATACGGTGATGGTAGTACAGTATTACGTTGTGAAACCTTCTTCTTTTCGTCTCGGGTTGCACGATACAGGTAGTAGGCGAGGGCAAAAGCTTAATGGCGTCTTAGACAATGAAACATCTTGCTTTTGTCACACATCGCACAATATGTTAGTAAAACTTTGGAAAATCTCATAAAATAAACGGTGTCTACTAACCAAATTCCCCCATATGGCTTTTCACTTGAATTAAATACAATTCTTATCAATCTCTTCCAATTATTTCCCGTTTATAAGTGGCATAGCTCAGGGCGATTAACTCTGTTATCAATGCGATATAGTATGGATAGTAAGTCCTCCCTTAAAGTTTCCGGCGGGCAAGGATTGTGTGTTCTGCTTGAGGTTCTACCTGGTCCATTGTATTCTTCGCTCTATACGAAGACCGTTGTGAGGCTATTGTATGACATGGTTTGGAGTCAGGTGAGAAAAAAAAAGGCTCAGTATGATTGTACAAATTGGTGGTTGGCGACAAGACACTGGTTATCGTGTAGTACATAGAGATTAAATTGTCATCGTGCTACCTTGTATCTTTACCTGGAGTTGCGCAATGACAAAGTAGAATTTTAGAGAATTTCTCATAAAGAGCGGTGTGAACTACATATCATGGCCTGTGTGACTAATTCTTAGTGATTTCATATAATTACTTGCAATCGATAGTTGGCGTGCCTTGGGATTATTAAGCAACATGGCAAGGGGTGCAATTCGATTGGATGTTATTAGTTCGTCGGTTGCGGCGAAGGAACAAACCAGGGAATGAGACGGTTTGCCACGCAGTTTTAATCAAAAACTCTGCTGGGACGTCCAAAACACTGTCCCTATTTCAGTGAAAAAGGATTTTCACAAGGGTATGATCTAATGAAAGGTGGCGAATTTCCTCTTTTACTGAAAATGGAATGGACAATAGGGATGTAGTTGACCAACTAGCATTCCTTGATCGTTAGTTTTGAGCAGCGTGAGAGCCTTTATGTGGCACGCGTTTAGAGGAGCCGGTAACACGTAAAGTAGCGATTGTACGTAGTCGCTATGGAAGTCGATGCATGGAAATCGGTCGGAGATAGACGCATACGTGAGAACAAACAGTGGGTAGGCGACAAGCACAATGTATTTGTATCTTTTGGAACCAACGAACAATATGGTCGCATGTACGACATTTCAGTCCGTCTGATTTCGGTGGTATAAGATGCGGAATAGGTTCAAGCGTACAAGTTGGATATTGTAAGTCGCGTAGGTCGGCTTGACTACGCAGAATATTCGTAATTTGCCGTATCCTTTCTACCAGTCATTGTTGATGCTCTGGCTTTATATCACGGTGTCGTGATTGTAAGTGAGTGGCCACTTCATCGGCTATAAAGGCAAATCTACATACTTGGCTCACGAGGAGGCGGCATGAAGAGAGAACATATGGATAAAATGAACTGCATGGTTCAGGCCTTGTAGGGGAGTCCATCACCACGGTTTGACTACTAATTGCGTAGTCTCGGCAAAAGTCCACGGCCCAATTAATGCCAACGCCATTCAGTATGTTAAAGTTAGTAATTCACGCGACGCGTCCTGTCGTTTTCTGCGCTAACCCCGGTTTCAATCAGCTTAATGACTTCTGTATAACTATGGAACAATGTAAATCAACTCTACACCCTGGCATTAATCAACCCTACAAGGTTTAAAGTGGGTCTGTAAAATCAACTCTAGTAGAGTTGATTTAGTCATTAGCTACTAGGGCCTAGTTCCGTCATGTTTATTAAAAGAAAAATCAGATGGCAAAGCTTTGAAGGACATGTAAGTGTAAGTTAAGACTGACTCTGAGGTGCTTTACGCGATCAGCGCGTCGCGTGTCTTAGGAAGATATTAATGGGATTTGATTGGCTCACAAAAGTCAAATCTACCCTGTGTAATGTGGGGCAAATAATTCAAATCTACTACAATTGATATTGTCATTGACTACTAGGCTTTTTAATGTTGGCTATAGTTCACATTTGCAGTAATGTTGATGAACCTGAGCCAAAACTTTGCGCGCTGCATCATGGTGTCGCTGTACCGTGACGTGTAACCAAGCGCCAATCAGAAACTCAAACCTACTCCCCGGCTAGTGACTTTGGTAAATTCAATTCTACCCATGTACTGTGGGGCAAAACTGTAGGACTAGGCTTAGTCGACCGGGAATTTAAGCTTACCTGCCGTTTGGGTGTGGATGCTGATTAATTGAACCTCCTCCACTTCTGGGGCTTGATTTCTAAGCCTCAACATCCTCCGAACGACCTCAAATTCACCCGAGCTTAGTCGAAATATTCGACTGATCTATACCTGCTTACTTCGACGTGACTCGCAAATTCTAAGAAGTCGGAAGGAGACCTTAAGAAAATGTCACTCGCGGATGAATGACAGTCCGACTCAATGGCTTCATGCATCATGAACCGCTCGCGAGGCAGCAGATTGCATAGCTCAAACAGGGATGAGGCCGTAATGCGAAGGTAGCTATCGCCTGGACTGTAGTATAAAGAGATGGCAAGGTTCCGTAGCAGTCGTGAATCAACAAACATCTAGAATACCAACAAACACACTCAGCACTCATTGCTTATCACACTTGCAACGCTCAAAATGACCACTTCTCAATCTCTCACATTTCTCGGCCTCGGGAACATGGGTTCCGCCCTTGTACAAGCTCTTCTGAAGGCTTCTCACAAAGTGACGATCTGGAACCGCACGACAGCCCGACCTCAGGTCAGAGTCGCCGTTGAGGCGGGAGCTATCCTCGAAGCGGATGTCCAGAATGCTATCTCCAGGAACAACATCATTGCCATCTGTCTCCTCGACTACTCCAGCATCAAAAATGTATTGGCTGACATTCCGACCTCTGCCTTCGAGGGAAAGACCATTGTCAACCTGACCAACGGTACCCCGAAACAAGCACGGGAGATGGCAAACTGGGCCGCCTCCCACTCTGTCAAACAATACTTCGACGGAGCGGTCATGGTAACGCCTCAAATGATCGGAGGGCCCCAGTCATTCTTTGTCGTCAGTGGAGAAACCCCCGAAGCATTCAAGCCCATCGCCTCATTCCTTGAACCCCTCGGAAGGCCGGAGTATCTCGGCACAGCCATAGATGCTGCTGCTCGATACGACCTTGCTGCTCTGTCGTCCATGTATGGCATGTTTAGCGGAATGTTCGTCGCTATGGGACTTCTCAAAAAGGGACATGCGATAGTCGACGAGAAGCTTGAACCTGTTGTGTCAGGCAGCCTGAACCCGTTCCTAGGCGCATTGATATCGTATAATGGACTTATTGCTCGGTGCTGGGATGACAAGGCGTGGGATGATAACCTGGGGAATCCAATTGGAATGCAAGCACAGGCTTTAAGGAATATTCTGGAGGCTTGTCGTGATGATGGGATGGATGATGGGTTTCTGAAGAACTTGACGACGGCGATGGAGGGAGTGGTGAAGGACAGAGGAGAGAATGGCGGGATTGCCGTAATTGGAGAGTATCTCTTGAACGGACGGTTAACAAATGAGTAATGGCTGGTTACTGAGAGCATTTCAAACCTAACAATAAATCCACGATAACCTGCGACAGAGTTCATAGAAAACACCATACAAATAAAATATGGGTAATTAAAGGTAGGGGGCAGAGTTCATTAAAACAAGAGGGGTCAGAATTCATAGAGTTTTTTTAAGCCCAAATCCAGCCAAACTGGGTTCAATTGATAGCTCTAATAGAAATTTATAAATGAATTTGTAGTAGAGTCCATTTGAAATCGCACAAAAATTAAAAACACGCTAACATACATCATAAGCCTGGGTCCTACAAAAGTATGTGTCATGCTGGAAAATTTATTTAAGCTTACACCAGACTGAAAATAATTTTGTAAAAATTCAAACTGAGTCTGAAGGAGCTCAAACTTGAAAATTAGGTTAAAGAAACAGAATTATATATGATACAGTCTTTAACGTGCATGATAAGCGAGTGGTACAGATAAGCGACTGTCACAAAAATTCTTCATCCTTCATCATCACCATCTAATCAGCTAATTCTCAACCACTCAATATGTCACAACCTAATAATGAGGCTAGGATGCCTCTTGCTCCTCAGGAGCTTCAAAACAACCGGAAACTAAGTATCCGATGCGCCGCAAAGATGTATCAAGTTTATTACCGTACCTTGCAACGCCGCCAACACGGCACTCAATCACGGCGCGATATTATCCCTACATCTCGGAAACTCTCTAATCTAGAAAAAGAGATCTTAATTCACTTTATTATTGACCTAGATTTAAAAGGGTTTCCTCCGCGGTATTCTTTTATTAAAGAAATGGCTAATTGTCTCCTTGCTAATTGCGATGCGTTACCTATTGTCAAGCGCCAGGCTTATAACTTTATATTGAGGAGCAGAATAAAACCAAATCCCATGAGTCGCAACTGCCGGAGATCCCACAAAGCCTAAGAGGCTATCGACGTCAAATGAGAATACCAGGTTGAGTCTGAGGGGGCCGTTCGACGTGGAGGCCAGCCTGCTTGGGTTTGTCCTCAGAGTCTTGGGTTGCATAGCCGGTGAATAACGCTTGCCATTGATCCGGGGTAAGCTTCGTTGCATCGCTATCAGTTTCGGGGGCGAGAATGTATTCTTTATCAACTGTATAAGGCACGTCATGGGGGACTAATCCATTAATTCCGTAATGGTTATCTGGTCCCTCAGCTTCGATGTGCGCTGTCAGAGATTCTCGATGGCTTTGGGCGCTACAGCCATGTATACAAACAAGGAACTGCTGAATACAATTCTATGTGGTATATTCCACATCAGTGTTGGCATTATCATTAGCCAGATCTGCTGGCTCCTCGGTATAGATTTGTGGGCTTTGGGGTTGTCACCGATCTCCGCCTTCTTCACCAGAGTAGATGTCGACTACTTCCTCCCCATAACAGGGATCTGGCTCGATGGTACTGATGCTGGGATCATCAACTTCCTGACTAGAGATAGTAAAGTTGTCACAGGCAAAATTGCCGCTTTCTTCAATCTCCTCAGTGTCGCGTAATGAATTGTTCTCAAGTTCCGATAGCCCATTCTCTGCCACTGAACCAACTGCGGCTGGCAATAGTTCGCCCCGGTGGTTTGCCTTGGTAATATCATTTCTTGTTTTCTGGCGATTTCGGTAGTTTCGTGTACGAATTGCTTGTAGAAGGCGCCGACGTACCGTAGCGCTGTCCTGTTTTTTTGTGCCTACAAATCGAACCTTCATCACCCCGCACCTGACAAAACATTGGGTAAGACAGTTGAACTTTGCGAAGCTAGGAGAACTAGCCATGTTAGGAAATGTAACGCTTGATCGAGTCATTCCATCGCAATATACCATGACATGCCGCGACAGCAATATTAATTCAAAAAGGATAAAACTTCATTCTTCATGCTCTTTAGACCAGAGAACCATATAATAGAATTAAGTTTAGCCAAAAAATTGGTGGCGGTCTTGAAGACATAAGTCGCATTTGCCTACTGGAGTGGAGACATGTCAACACACCATCCGTTATGGGCTTAGGGAAAGCTGGGATTGAAGTGGGGTAGTGCAACGGTAATGCCAAATGATGGGAGCTGCTTATTGGTCCAGTTTATTTCCCCGTCGAACTACCCTTGTTCTGCATCGAAGCGAGATGTGGACTGAGCCTGTCAGATCGATCATCCAACTGGAAGTGTCGGATAAACTGTCAGCCTTGGTTGTTGGTCGATATCCTTGCAACACATTGGTTGAGACGAGAGAGAACAATGTAGTCGTTCGAAAGTCTGATTGGCCATCGTTCACGTGGCAAAAATCTCGCTGCGGTATTAAAATCTGGTTGCCTCGATATTTCTCTCGTGACGCATTACTCAAAGACGAGAGAGTCTAATCGACAAAATGGCAGCAAACAATGATGGACCTATCGTGGCACCCGACGAAGATGTTAGATCCCTTATTTTGTTCATGTGCCTCGACTGATATCTGATATAGGTCCAAGACGACCGCGACTCATCAATTGGAGATGTAAGATCTGTCTCTGGCTGTTATGTAGCGGGGAGAGAATGAGCTAACAAATAGTGGCAGGATGCGACATCATCGACAGCAAGTTTGAGCAGCTCAATCCTCGACTTTCGTCACGAAAACGGGAGAACATATCATGCATACAAGGATGGAAGTCAGTTACCGTCAACGACTCTTTTTCCTAGCTCGGAGTCCAATGCTAACCTTACCCACACAAAGAATATCATCTTCCCAACGATGAGCGTGAAAATGACAGGCTAGGTACAGTCCCGGTTGCGGTATGGCGGTAACGTTTATACTAAAGAAGTCCAGACTTGCAGCATAATTTATTCCTCCTCACTTTTGATAACAAACTTGGTCTTTCACCTCCAAACCTTCCTGATTCCAAGGTCAAGCGCGTCTTGGACTTGGGAACTGGAACGGGAATATGGGCAATAGACTTTGGTGACGACCATTCCGAAGCCGAGGTAGGATCAGTTAACCAAGGATTAAAAACTCGAAGCGAGGATTAGAAGCTGATACTTTTAGGTTATCGGCGTCGATCTATCTCCTATCCAGCCCAGTTTGTCAGCTTTGAATAACTATCGTTTCTCTTTATAGATGCTAATAATTAGCTAGCGTTCCGCCCAATGTTCGGTTCCTTATTGATGACATTCATGAGCAATGGGACTTTTCTGAGCCCTTCGATTATATACATAGCAGGATGATGAATTTCAGTATCCCCAATTGGCCAGAGTACTTGAACAAGATCTACCAGTAAGTTTAACCAGTACCTCAGTATTCTCTATAGTCTAACAACCTCAGAAACCTCGCTCCTGGGGGCTATGTCGAGATCCAAGAGATCGACGTGATGATGAAGTCTGACGACGGCACGCTTGGCGACGACAGTGCAATCATGAAGTGGAGTAACCTATTGAACGAGGCCTCTGTCAAGCTGCAACAAGCTTACAAAAAGATTGACGAGTTCAAAGACATGATGGCCGAAGCAGGGTTTACCGAAATCGTCGACATGCGTTTCAAATGGCCGACAAACCACTGGCCAAAGGATAAGAAGTATAAAGAGCTTGGAGTATGGAATAATGAGAATATTGCCATCGCTCTGGAGTCATTGACTATAGCACCATTTACGAGAGCCCATGGTTGGTCTGTTGAAGAGGTCCATACTTTTCTGTCTAGTGTGAGAAAAGATCTTAACAGCCCAAAGATACATGGGTATTGGCCAATGTAAGTGCATATGGTTATCCACTAGTTATATCGACTAATCAGCCGACAGCTGCTCCGTTTATGGAAGAAAGCCTTTAGTATGAGGGGGTATCCCATCATAATATTAGCAATAGGGTTGGGAAACATCAAGGAGGGCTAGAGAAACCTTGTTTCGTAACGGTGGACAGCGAGCTAGTAATTCACGCCTTACTAGCTTTATTACTCTTCTGATATATAGTCCTGAGGCCACATTATATAGGCTTAAAAGATATACTAAATAGCTTGGATTTATTAGTACCCTAATTAATAACTATTCTAATAGTAATTTCTATTGTAATCGCGGACGCGCTGTTGCGATCAGAGCCCCACTGAGAATGATCTACATTGTAATCCACAATGCCAAGGTCTATAAGGCTGCAAGGACGGGAAAAGGGCATTTGGTCAGACCAACGCCCGGGCCTCTTTCGAACGTTCGACAGTCGGGAACAAGTCCTGCAACCCTACAGCTAGCCACCTCAGCTCGACTACATTGGTTGAGAATATGGCGCACCCCCGCCACCATACACGAAGCAACTCGTCGGTATTCATAATGAGGCGAGACAGGAAGCTCCATTACAGCCAATACCTGCAATGCAGCAGAAGGCTTTTTCTTCGAGGGCGAATCCATAATACAGGTTCCTTCGTCAGGTCTTAGCTATCTTCGCGGAGCGGGCCGATCTGCCTAACAACAACTTGATGCTAACATAGTTTGCGGGGTAAAGCGTGTCGCGTCACAATTGAGGAAACATACGACAGCCAATGATTGCCCATTCGCTTGCCCTCACTGCCATGCCGTAATTATCCTCTCGCACCGCTAAGTGACTCGCCGAGCCGCTTTTGAGTTGCTCGGCTGCACTTGTCAGTCTGTCACAAGTGCCACTGAACGTCCGATGGCCCAGTGCTTCCATCGCTGTGTGGTCAGCTGCCCGCCATCAAGCCCTGTATGGTCAATCTGCTGAGGGGCTTTTATTGCTGCAGCCGGTCAAGCAAGCCGTTTTAGGGGTTTTGACAGGGTCTGCATCAAAAACGAAAACGGCCATAGACCCAGGCTATTTTCTTTTTCCTCGGAGAATGAATAAACTCTGTTATCCATCCCTTCAGTGGCCCTAAGGCCCACTACATGGTAAAGCCATGCTTTCGGAACGGGCTAAATGGCACTGGAGCAATGCTAACATAAGGTCATCATGCAGTATATTCTCGTCCATATTGAAATTGAGCCGACCAAGCCTCTTCCTACTTATTTGTAACGACAAGGGATTAGTACATTAAACAATATGATGTAAGCGAGGGAAGTCGCGCAGGCCGAGTAATTTTTGGATTCGGACCTAAATCCTAAGATCAAAGGAATGGTGCACGGCCTAGAAAAAATGGTATTGGGTGCCATTACCAGTGGTAATTGGTACAGTAGCACATTCCAACCAACGTGCACGGATAAAAAGGATGTAGTTTCATGAAGATAATGGAGACAGGGGGCTAGCGCACGGACGAAAAGTGAGTAATTTAGCAAATTACAAGCTGTCCTTGGTACAGTAGGCTTAACAGGCACTATTGAACACAAAGAATAGGTGAGAGGTTTGGGACGCATAGAGATGAAACAAAACAAAGTACTTACACAAATACATCAGTAAACCCCCTAAGGCCACAGATGTGGAGATTACTTGACTAAACAGACTTAGCGCGGGTACCTGCTGCGCTAGCTCAAAGAAGGATTAGTTTTGACCACGAAATTCTGATTGGCTCTGGGCTGGTGAAGCGACGACGAGGTCCACAACTAATACGAGCGATAACGTCACAACGAGAGCAGGAATGAAGATAAAAAGAGTTTTTATAATATCTAAATGACCTTGAGACTGGGTATAGTGTATGGAAAGTAGTTTTGGTCAGCTCCCTACGCCCATGTCTAGTCACCCTTTTCATGATGTCTATGGAGGTGAGCATGTGGCTAATTGTGGCGCCCTTACCCTGTCAACGCGTTGCGGGTGAACGCGTTCACGCGCAACTTGCGATCAGCATCTGCAGTAACGCAATATTGCAACCACTTCAACACGGCTCAACGCGCTGAATCACCGCAAAGTCAATTGTGACCAGCAGGGTTTTTGTTTCATTATCTCTGTTTTGCACAACAAGGTGTTTTGGACCTTATCGGAACTCGTCGCATACGCCAACGGACCAACTCCCTACAACTTTCTAGCTTTACGTTTCAAACTCGAGACGACGGTATGGCTGCTGTTACACGCTCCAAGAATCATGGCCCGGCTCGTCACCAAGAGCCAGTTGAAACTATGGCTTCTCCAGCCTTGAGGTCTAGCACTCCCAGCGACAGGGCATCTCGAGTCGGAACTAGCGGAACTGGCACTCAAGGAACTTCCAATACGGGACCAAATATGCCTAATATACCTCACACGTCTGTCAGTAAGAGCCTCAAGCCAAATGCCGACGAATTGCAATCGGCGCCTAAGGGATACGCGACTGAGAAGATCGATCCTGGCTTTGAAAAAGACGTTGCGATTGGCGAATTCATTGGCCATCGTGTTGACACCGAAAACTCCACCGTAGACATCCGAGTCAAGTGGCAAGACGGGGAAACCACTTGGGAGTCAGAATGGAGTCTTCAAGAAAAGGTGCCCGCGCTTGTCTTTAAGTACTGGGAAAAGCTGGACGGTCGCGAGGCTGCCACCAACCTTGATACCTATCACGTCTTCAAGATCCTAAAGCGAGCCCCACCATCCGACAAGCTCGGAAACTCCCAACACATGTACCAGGTACAGTGGGTTGGCTACCGTCCAGCCGAATCTACTTGGGAGCACGAGTCCAAACTGCGCACGATTACACCGGATAAACTGGAGAAGTTTGAGACTAAGCAGTTAGCTAGCGGTGCTTCAGAGAAGCGCAAGAGTAGGCGTGGCCCTGGACGACCTCGAAAGAAGCCACGAATGAGGACTAGAGGGTGGTAAATGGCGTGCATATATGCAGATAACGCAAGCGTAGGAGATGAGCAACCATCAATAATGATCTTTCTTGTCTTTGACTTGATACCATAAGATGTTTATTGAATCAGTGTTCGCGTGTTTCTCTTTGGGCTGGGTCAATGGCCAGTTCTGATCTCTTCTATATACCTTGGCGGAAAACTACGCAATGACGAATATGTAGGCGATGATAGATCCATATATAACAGAACTATTCTTACCAGCGATACCATTCAAGATGGTACTAGCAACCATCTCCGCCCAGAGCTCGATGCGCAATGCGACTTTACCTGTGGTGAATCACAATCACAGGTGAGGCTCCTGAACACCACTACCTGGTCCTTGGCTACAAAATTCCACATCGCCACCAACTTCGCAACCTCAACACTCCTCTTCAGACGACCGAAGAGGAAGATGGCGACGAACAGCAGAAGGCAGATGACCGGCCGTTTCTCGAACTCACCTCTGCAGTTTGTGCGACTCCTCCCGTGTAGATCATCAATCGACAACGCCGCCGCCTTCCATCTAGAGCAGTCCATGCCAATGCGAGTACAACCGACTCTGCACAAACTGTTCGTGTTCCTTTTGCCTCCAATTTCTCTTCTTTCAGCTCCTTTTCACACGATCCCCAATTTGTCTCTGTTTCTCGCCCTCCTCCTCCCTTAACATGTTCAACATGCCACAAGACTGGGCGTTTTGCACCGCCAGGACGGTCTCGGTGGCCGATAAGTTACGACATGAGATGCTTAACATCTAACGACCTCCCATTCCACACTTGACGACTAATAGTTTCTCTCATAACCGCCACCTACCAGCAAGGAGTTAATTTGGCATCAAAATCTGATCAATAAGGAACCACCTAAACGGGTGATATACGTCGGTGGGAAGGTATATGTCCCGTGCTTTCAGGATTGGTAGCATGTTGACAGAGCGCTGTAGCTCGGCATTGTACCTTTCTCTTGTGACCTCCCCCAGAAGCACTACTCGGCCTCTGAAGGAGACCTTCATCTACGACCAGTGGCCAGCATGGTCAAGGGCTTCACCAGCGACAAATTCGAAACCTAGCCGGGCCTTGTCCTAAACTAGAAGACGAACTTTCAGCCTGTGAAGAGACGTAGGGGGGGTTAGTTACCGGTAGGGCAGGAAAAGAAAGTCAAAAGAGTGGAACAGACTCTGCAACTGCTAACGGCGAACATGCTTTGAGTTTTCATTCTTGAAGTGCGCGGCAGTGATAGCTAGCTATTATTATTAACTTTGGCGAAGTAGGGTAATGCAGACTAATGCTAATCCGCGAGGCCTCGGCTATTTGCTGGACCCTGTTAATTAGGCATAGTCGTTTAGATGATTATAACCGCGTAGGATATAATCAATTAATCAATCAATTGATAACGCCTTAGTCTCCCCCATCCTCTGCAACGCTGGGAGAACCTTGTCCACCCATGATCATCTCCTCCTCCATCTTTGCTTGGTATGCACTTCCTCAATGTGACGCTTAAGGTTATCAGGGCGGGTGAACTCTCTCTTGCACTCCCAGATGGAGCATTCGAACGCATCTAGGGTGGGCAGGAACTGCCGATGGTAGACCCTGACGTGCCGGAGCATGGGCTTCTTGTCCCCAAATATCTGTCCACATCCTGCTATACAAAGCGTCGGGGCTTATGCATTGTGCGAATATGAATGCTGCAGAACTCATTAACCAACTAACCAATACTTCGACTGTCGGTAATCGAAAGATAGGCGCTTACCTCAGCTTTTTGCTTGTCAAAAAGGTCCGAGAGCACGCCAGCCAGGAACAACAATACTCCCCATTGGGCCCCCTGGCATGCCTTATACGTTTTCTCGGAGTGACTGCGTGGGTCGGCAAATGTTGTTCTAGAGTTTGAGTAGACTCTATGTCGCACCTTGATAGTTCAATGGCGTTGATAACATGTCCGGGACTCTTCACTTTGACTTTAGCGGGGGCATCTTCGCAATCCTTCGTAAGCACCCTCCAGTCATCGTCTTCCTCACTGTTAGCATGCGAGCTACGAGAAGACTATGCCTTCAAGCAACTAGAAGGGTTGGCGGTGACAGTGTCGGTGGAAGCCGTAGCGTGTAGGAGAGCCGGGTTGACTGTATGGCCTAGGGAGAGGGAGTTGACAGTGATAAGGTCCCCATATTGTGGCATCCCAGGTGCCTCGGTTACAATCCCTCCGGTCTTATTGAGTAGAGTTGGGTTCAAGGCATGCGGCCTAAAAGCCGTTTCTGGTACTAGCTCCATAATTGAGGGGGTCTCTGGGAACTCATCAGCTAATGTATTTATTTCAAAGCAGCAAAAAGCGATGCCTTCTCCACATTTCATGGTTGCCGTGTGTACCTAGTTGTAAGCTCAGTGTTTAAGCGCAAGCGACGAACTTCAAAAGCGCAAGACGCGCCCTTTGGACTTCTTGGTTAAAAGTAATTCGGACCAGCAGTGCGGGGGCATGTGAAGATAGTTATACTTCCAGGGTCAGGGTGTCATTGACGCGGGGGGAAGGGTATGTAAGCCACCACTCGAATGACGCAACTGTGTCCCGGCGGCGCGGCTTAGCTTCCCGAATTAGCTTTTTAGTGAGCATCTGTTGTCAAGAGTCTTCCTGAATGATTTCTGTATCTTATCAACTTTTTGTGGTAAATACGCTCGACATTTACTACTCGAGTGGTTATGGAAGTTCATACTAACCTGGTATCCGAAGCTGGTGTTAGCAAGTCGGGGCTTTCTGGTGGCCTTCAATAGCTCCTGGTTAATCAGACGAGGAATACCGATGCGGTGGCAAAAGTCTTTTTCGGCCAAAGCTGACCTTAGTTCCCCAGCCATATTACTCACGATTGTGTCATAGGTCATCACCGATGATGATGCCGGCCTAGTACGAAGTATTAAAGAGTTAGACTTGATTATTCATTTGCCTTAGGAGTCTTGGTAGTAATCTGCTTAACTATCTTCACTCCAGGCGTTTAATCACCAAAGCTCGGCTAATGCTACATCAAGCTACCAGGCAGGAGTTCTCCCATGACAGCATCATCACGCATCATCAAGAATGGCGGTAGTCCAGACTTCGGAGTTCCAATACTATGCTGGTCTCGATCCCTTTGACCGTAGACTTCTCTACGAGCCAATCGTTCTCGAGTATGCAATGATTCAAAGCTGCAACCTGACCCGAGAAGAACCAGAAAGCCACGCGACGGTCGACTTTGACAACCTGCAATCCGACTCCGAAGCCTTTCGCGTGCTCGTAAATAAGCTCGCCCAGGTCTGTGACAATGACCGAGGCGGGAATTCAGTCACCGCCATGACGATTCTCGAAGGGACGAATGGGCCCCAATTCGTGTTTGCAGCGAACAGGAAGGACGAAGAGGAGACTAGGGCAACCACGAGATTCGTAACGAACTTACTACAGTTGGCCGGGCAGAATCCCCAAAATCTTAGCTCCGATGCCGTCGAGAAGAGAGTACTCTGGATGATATTAGCTTTCAACATGCCCCGAATTACCGAATACAAAGACAAACTCGATAAGGCTTTAGGCCTTTGTCTAGAAGACCATGAATGGCGACAGTCCGAAGACGGTATGACATAGCATATAGCAATGCCCACTACATGACACTGACTCCAACGATGAACAGAGGCCTTGAAGAGTGAGCTTCAAAAGCTCAGAGAGAAATGCAGCTTCTCGGTCAACAACATACGCGAGCAGGAGGAAATCAAGTGCAAGTCTCCCCCCTTCTGTCGACATACTTTATATATACCGAAACTAATTTTACCCCAGCACTGAGAGACTGTAAAAGGCTGATCAACCTGATCCATAATGCCCAGCTGGCGATGACAGGGATCAAGAAAGCCGTCAGGACGAAAGCCAGGGGCAGCGAGTTCCTCAGGTCTGGGCCGTGGTGCGAGCTAAAACATTATCTCGGCCGTTGGCATTCCTACCGTCAAGCTGCGAGCTTCATTGTTTGTGCAGCAACAGCCTGGCCGCTACTATTTCAGGACTTTACAATCACCTCACTACCGTCTAGTACTCGCATATCCAAGCCCATTGTACAGTCGGACCTGACAGCTATTGCCATTGTTCAACACATGGAGGCTTTCGAGAAAGTAAAGATGCCAGAGCTTATGCAGGATGCAGAGGATCTCCGCAGGATGGGTCTCGATAAGGCTATCCAAATTCAACTCTTGAAGAGAACTTTCAGGCCACTCGTACACGCAGAAGTTCTCATTCATCACTACCTCAACAAAAACGGAATCACAATGCCAAATAGATTTTGGCGGCAATGGCAATACATCAGCGCCAGCAAGCCAACCTGTCGCTTATGCCACTATTACTTCAGCTCACACTCACAGAGCCAGATTCAAGTTCGGCCTTCACATCTGAATCTGTACCCAAATTGGCGTTTACCGGAAATCTCTGACGAGGACGATGCGGAAGCTCGAGAAGCTCACAGGAAGCTCTTGAAGAACATCGCTGAAAAGGTGCGCAATGACGCGAAGCGGACTTTGCAGCAGAGGACCACCAAAAGAAAGCAACATGACTCAAATACCTACTCTGCTACACCAGGATACCTTGTGAAGAGATCAGGGTCAACAAATTCTGATGGTACCGCCTATTGCGAGGTTGATCGCTACAGCGGTGAGGGGGTCAGCCTGTGGTCGCCTTGAGATGGAGTCTCTTGTACTGCTCAGTCATTAAATACACAATGAACTCAGCCGCTACGCAGAAATCTTCCTTTGTCATCACATTTTCTTGGCATACACGTATTAAGGAAGTGGCCCTGTCTTCCCCCAAATCCTTAACAAGTGCAATATTTACCGTTTTTGTTGGAATGATTCTCAGTCTCGACTCGGTCGTACTTGTTAATACCATTCCTTGTTAGCTCCATCACCATCGTCATCTTTATCTTCATACTTATCTCTATTACTACAGTCGCCAGGCTTATCCTTATCTTCCTTATGTCCTTTATCCAGATTCCAGTTAGAGTTCACAGCCTCGCGTTGTAGAAGAGCAACCAGATATAGTATATGACACATCATGATGGTTTCATCGCGTCCGAGCCGTAAGCTGTATATATCTTGCTGCTGATGTGTTTCAACATGTTGAACTCTGGACACATAACAAATGAACCTCTTCTATACATCCACATATCTTTTCAGGCAGTTCACAACTTTGAATTTGTGGGGCCAAAAGTTATCTTTCCAGTAGGTATTGAACAGCATCGAGATCTGTATGAAGTCTTGGCCAACGTGAACACGGCTCGATCAATCATGAGGTCGACACCACGGAGTATGATTCGTAGCTGGGCTTCCACGGCAGCTGGACTCCGGAGTGCTGTATCGTTCCATTGGCCCAATAGATAGTCTTCGTTCCATGCTAATTTGGGCTTTCTTGCCGTGGCCGCGATGATGCCAAGCGGTCGGTCGTGAAATAAACGAGGCCAACCGGTATGCTGTAACCATGGAGTTGTTTCGTTCTGTTCAACGTCGTGATCATCTGGCTGATGTTCACGGAACTCTGGAGGCCACATGTTTGAAGATCGTCAGGGTCGCTAGAGTAGTCGATGTATTATTATAGCAAACTGGACGACTGACAAGAATAAGAATCAATTAGTAGAGTGCTTTCTATACTTCTGCAACGCGGTCACGAAACATGCACGGTTAAGATATCGATTTGCATGTAAGCGCCCAGGAGGTAGTATCGCTCTGCGCCACCAAAGTAAATCCAGCTAGGAGGGTTGCAACAAAGGAACAAACCAGCCAATAAGAAAGTTATCACGCACTTTTAATCAAAATAATCTGCGGGGACCTCTAAAACACTGTCCCTCTTTCAGCGAAAGAGGATTTTGCAGGGGTATAAGCCAATGAGAGGTGGTGAATTTCCTCTTTTACTGAAAATGGGACGGACAATAGGGATGTAGGGATGTAGCCATCTTTTGCTTACATCGATAAAACCCACGGATCAAAAAAGGCCCCCCAGATAAACTCGTTCAAGCCTTTACCTGCTGCATCAATCATCGTATATCCATATCGTTAAAATTACAGACCATGGGCATATCAGCGGAGTTTCGGCAGTCGATGAATGTTCCCTGGAGGTAATCTCTCCGTTCCAGAATTAAACCGAGATTTTGTAACGCCAATCCCTGCATTTCCCCTGAATTCAAGACTCTAGATGAGTTAGCGCCAACTTCAAGGTGGTACGTCTGATGATAAGAAAGCTGTCGGAATGAAAAATGTAACGAGAACTTATGGTAATTGATTGGAACCTTTGGTTGAAAGGGAGTTTATTTGAAGCACTTACCGGTAATCTGCTAGTCTTCCAGGATTAACCTTTTTTAACGTCTCATCACATGTAACGGCATATAGATGGCGTTGCATTGATCTAACCCGTATAGCCTATATAAATGCTATGCAACGCTCAGACGCTGTTGATATACCAAGGCCTCCCCTTCATTCAACTCGCTCTGGTATTCTGTCACTCTTTGACTGTTTCACGCTCCTTATTGTCTTTTGTCATTCTTTTCAAGTCACTCTTTTATCTTACCGGCCACGCTCATTATGGTCCGTTTAGGATTGACCGCTCTGCTTTTCGCAGGGTTGTCCACTGCTGTTCAAGCAACTGAACAGGCTACTGATGTTACCCAATTTCCTGGTGCCTACATATTTGAATTCGAAGAAAATCACGTACGCCTTTGCCACCAACACACTCATCAACCCGCTAATATTTTTAGAATATTCTGGATTTTCACGAATTAATTGATGATGATGTCAAGTTCACCACCCGCTTGGAACTCGATTATGATCTCTTCAAGGGCGTTTCTGTCCAGTTTAACGATGTTACTACTGCCGGGCAGATGGCCGCTAAGATAGCTGAGCTTCCACCTATCAAGAACATGTGGCCTGTCAAGCTCTACAGTATTCCTCAGCCACGTGTTGAGTGGACTGCTACGGCTGACATGGAGGCTCCTCTCAAGAAGCGTAATCTGCATAGTAAGGCTGATACGTACTCGACTCACGTCATGACTCAGGTTGATAAGCTGAGGAAGAAGGGCATTACTGGACATGGTATCAAGGTTGCTGTTGTTGACACTGGTGTAAGTTTATAACTCATTTGTTTGGACTCCGGCTAACTTGATTAGATCGACTATTTGCATCCTGCTCTCGGTGGCGGCTTCAGTCCCGACTACCTTGTTTCTTTTGGTACTGACTTCGTTGGAGACGCCTATAATGGTTCTAACACTGCCCACCCTGACGATGACCCAATGGATTGCATGGGACACGGATCTCACGTCGCTGGCATTATCGCTGCTCAAGAGAACGAGTATGGTTTCACTGGTGCTGCTCCCGGAGTCAAACTCGGCGCCTACAAAGTCTTTGGATGCACTGGACAAGCCGGTACCGATGTTCTCATTGCCGCTTTTAACCAGGCTTACCAGGATACCGCTGACATCATTACCGCTTCCATTGGAGGACCCAGTGGATGGTCTGAGGAACCCTGGGCTGTCGTCGTCTCTCGAATTGTCGAGAAGGGCGTTCCTTGTACTCTCGCTGCTGGTAACTCTGGCGATCAGGGTATCTTTTACGCCTCCAGCGCCGCCAACGGTAAGAAGGTCATGGCTATTGCGTCTTATGACAACAGCGACTACGTTTCTCTTATCAACATCACTCACTACACTGTCGATGGCTCCAGCAAGAAGACTGACTTTGGTTACACTGCTGGCGCTCCCGCTGCTTGGGACAACGTTACTCTGCCTCTTTGGGCTCCTAACCTGGACCCTATTATACCCAACGGTGGCTGTGATCCTTACCCTGCTAATACACCTGATCTCGGCGGAAACATCGTTTTGATCCGTCGTGGAAACTGTACTTTCGTCCAGAAGGCACAGAATGCTGCTATGCATGGCGCAAAGTACTTGATGTTCTACAACGATCTTCCCGGGGCCGGTTCTGTAACCCTTGACCTTTCAACTGTTGATGGTCTCCGTGCTGTTGCTATGCTGAACTCCAAGGTCGGTACCACGTGGGTTGAACTTCTTAAAAAGGGATCTAAAGTCACTCTCGATATGGCTCACCGCTCTAATAAGAAGGTCATTCTTGTAGAGAACAAGAACAATCAGACTGGCGGCGCTGTGAGCACTTACTCCTCTTGGGGACCGACTTGGGAGATGGATGTCAAGCCCCAATTTGGTGCACCTGGTGGACACATTCTCTCGACCTATCCTCTCAAGAAGGGAGGTTATGCTGTTCTTTCCGGAACTTCAATGGCTACTCCCTTGGCCGCCGCTATTATCGCTCTCATTGCTCAGGTTCGAGGAAGACTTGAGCCACAGGAGTATGAGACCCTTCTGTCTTCCACTGCCAACCCTGCGCTTTACAACGACGGTAATAAGACCTACGACTATCTTGCTCCTGTGCCTCAACAAGGTGCTGGTTTGATTCAAGCCTACGACGCTGCTTACTCTACCCTCTTGATGAGCCATTCCAGCCTGTCTTTCAACGATACCGATCACTTCACTGAGGTTCTCAACTTCACTCTTCACAACACTGGTGACAAGGGTCTTGATCTCAGCATCTCGCATGTTCCCACCAAGAGCGTCTACACTCTTATCAATGGCAGCATGTATGCTTCTATGTTCCCCAACGAAGTTGTAGATGCCCACGCCAGCCTCAAGTTCAGCGAGGCCAAGGTTAGCATTGGTGCTGGTGACTCTGTTACCATTGAGGTCATGCCAACTCCTCCCGAGGGCGTTGATGCTAAGCGTCTTGCACTTTGGTCTGGATACATCGCTGTCAATGGCACGGGAGTCTCCCTGTCTCTTCCCTACCAGGGTCTAACTGGCTCTCTTCGCAACTCCCGTGTCTTAGCCGCTGATGATACCTGGATCACCAAGTCTAATGATACAAACCTCAATCCCGTACCAGGAAATTACACTTTTGTTGTTCCTATCAGAGGACAGAACGCTACTAATGAGAAGCCTGCTCCTGCTCTAGCATGGAATCTCGCTTTAGGATCTGCTAAGCTAGAAGCTCAACTGATTCCCGTCCATGGTAACTCGACTGGCAAGAGTGTGGGAGCACCTGCTTGGTTCCCTGCCTTGTGGGTCCCTTCGGGCCCGAATGCCATTACTCTCACCGGCCAGATGGCCGATGGAGGATATGCACCTGCTGGAAAGTACAAAGTTGCTTATCGTGCTCTGAGAATCTTCGGAAATGAGAAGAAGGAGAGCGATTGGGATAAGTCTGAGTCGCCTGTCTTCAGCTTTAGGTACCCTTGAACATCATGGTTGTTTGGCACGTTATGAAATGACTGTGATGCCATTACAGACAGTGGTGGGTATATTTTAGCCAGTAGCTACGTGATGGTATCATTCATTAATAACGTAATATCCTTACATCTCTATTCTAAAGCACCTTACTCATACTCTCTGGCCTCCTTGTGGCATTTTTATTTCCGGGTTCTAAGTGATTGACAGTCGTGGATCTCTGGAAGCCCCATATAACGCCATTTTGGTCTTCCTCCACTACTCTTCCATTGGGTGTTGCTCGAATAATTCTACCATTCGGATTGGGAAACAGAAAGACAGGCCTTCCTATAGGATCCGCATACGGTAGGAGAAGCATAGGCTCTATTATGTGATTAGCGTAAGATGTAACGCCATGTCTTTCTCCATGTTGAGTTATAAGGTCAGATGCAGGCACATCCTTTGTAGAATGTGATACCTCACTGCTGGAGTGTTGTTGAGGGACCTGAGGCCTCATTTGGGCATTTCGAAATGATTCGGACCTGACCTCACTTTGAAAGTCGTGCTCACCGTCCTGATCATGACCGTTGTCTTCTCCAGTGTCAATTTTGAGCTGGACCGGTCTGAGAGGAGTAGGTTGATGGATATTGGATGTATGATCAGATGCTCTCTCTTCGGGGCTGTTCAATCTAGTGTCTGCCTTTCTTCTACCATCAAGGATTTGCACAGGAACATATTCGTCGTTATTCCTTCTCTCCATATCTTCTGATTGGGATGACCCTTGATGTTTAGCTGAGTGGTGCGAGGCCGTTGTCGTGGACTCCATAGGTGTTCCATTCATATTCTCCCCGTGATCCAGGTCACTATCAGCACTTGCTGAATACGATTGACTGTCTGAATCAAGAGGTGTGTGCCGTCTGTCAGCATAGGCAATATGAGTTCGGCCATCTGCACCCTGATAAAGATGGCCTTTAGTTGCGATTGCCCCATTGTGACCATTGATAGCATTCCAGTTAGTGAAACTTCCCAAGCTGTCCCTTAGTGGAATGCCCAGATACCTGCCAGTCTCAGGATCAACCAAATAATAGCCACTGCTACTTAGACCAACGTCTGAGAAGTCTTCTGCTTCACTCTGGCCTATGAAAAACTACGGCGCGTCCGGAACAGAAGGTGCAGTTGATAGGCGATGGGTGCGGGCTTTGACGTGGTCTCTTTCTCGATGATCAACTTGATCGAGAGGTCTGAATGCCACATCATTGCCTGTGATAATTCGTTGCTCTCTCCTCTCGCCATAGTTGTTGTGTGGGCTATGTCCATAGTGTGTTTGTAGTCTATGAGCCAGCTGCTTCATATCGAAAAGTTCGGTGCGGAAGCTATCACACTCTCTTTCTGCCCTTTGTCGGAGCGTCGTTTCTGATGCAAGCTTTCCCGCCAGTATTACTAGGCCTTGCTGTATCGGTGCGAGCCTAGATTCTGCTTCTTGGTTCATAGTCGTTTCCAAGCTTGCTCTTAGATCTGCAACCTCCTCACCGAACCGAGTTGTCATTGCAGAGGTAACAAGATTTCTTTCTGCTTCAAGAACCTTTTCAATCTCTGTTGCTTCCCTCTCCTCTTCTTCCAATTTGTCATTGTACTGCTCCTGCAACTCAGAAAACTGTGTTTGTAGTTCACTATATTCCTTCATCAAATCTGTCCTCTGACTAGTTTCCAATGTAAGGCGTTCTTCCAACTCGGTGACTTTTGTCTGCAGTAGAATGCGGTCGTCTTGTGTCGCCTTAATTTCAAGTTCTGTCAACTTCCGCGCTTCGTCGCTCATAACGAGTTTCCTGTTTAAATCATCACGACCATCCGTGGCTTTTGCAATTTGTTCGTCTTTTGCCTTGACCGTCATTTCGGATAGAGAAAGCTGTGCCTGTAGCTTGCCGCACTCGTTGCTCGCCAATGTGCTTTTATCAACCTCTGCCAGATAGAGTCTTTCCGATATGGATAGCTTTTCAATCAAACTGTTGCGCCCATCTTCAACATGCTCTCTATGTCTGGCTTCGGACTCAATTCTGGTCTCGAGTCGACGTAAAGCATCCTTCGACTCTGTCATCATCTTGCGCTGTATCTCATCCTGGCCAGCTTGCTGTGCTTGAAGCTGAGACTCAACTTGGGCAATTCTCTCTCTGAGGTTTCGTTCTCTCTCGGCTGCCTCCTCTAATTGGATTTGCACTGCTTCTCTGACTGAAGTCTGGCTTGGGACTGTGTAGCTAGCCTTTCTTCCCATTTGGCAGCGATGTATTCTCTTTCAGTTTTAACACGCATATCTCGATCTTTGGCCATCTCCTTCGCCATTCTCTTTCGCTAGGCTTCAAGTTCTGATTAGTACTGATTCCTTAGCTCAAGTTCTATCTGTGCTCGATCAGTTTCGAGTTGCCGCTGTGCGTCTTTCTTTGTTTCTTCCTCATGTCTTCTCCAGTTCGTCTGTTCGCTTTCCATATAAGCCTTAGCGACCTTTTCGATCTCCTCCCGATCAGGTGCGGAGTACTGTTGAGAGCCAGAGTGTCGGCCTGAAACCCTATGACCAGCATCAAGATTTTCCATTGGACCCTAATGTTGTTGCCTTGGCATTGGCTGGTTCAAAGTAGGGGGTGGCTGTGGCCGATGTCTAGAATAATTAGGGACTTGTTGAACTGGTGGAGGAGGGCCATAACGCGGCATGGTTGACTGGGTTAGGGTTAGGGTTATAAGCTTAGATGTCCACACTTGTGCATCCTTGACTGCCTCAATACCAAGATTATGCGGCTCACTGCAAAGATGCACCTTAACTTGTTTCTGTGTAACCATAGTCTGGCATATACGGCAGCAGAGAAGTCGGAATTCTGGATTATATGTAAAGTACTCCATTACGAACGAATTTAACGGGATTAAAGTCTTACTTTGAACTTCGAGCTCTATTAGCTACTATGCAGTATTAATACTTTCCTAGAACCCCTTTACTCTACATCGGCAGTTCGAGCTGAATGTGACCTGAATGTGATGAGACATATGGCTACAGCTGTTGCTGAACTTTGTAAGTCAAGAAGGCGCTCTGGTTGGCTGTGGCAGACTAATCCATGTTCACAAACCCTGTCGCCCAACAACTATCAAAAAAAATGACCTCGAAGCAAATACACCGCGCAGTTGCTGATATCGCGACTTTATATACTGATATTAGTATCAATCGATTCGCAAGCATTTCTTTTACATTCTTACCTGTTTTAAACTTACTGTAGCTGCTATAGCGCCCGAAACGCTAATCGTCGGCAGACACTCATTTTAATCGTCGCGCCACCCATTGTCTTGCTAGCGCCACGAAATTTCCCATACAAATTTAATCCTCGGCAGGCTGTCGACGCAACAAATAATTGTCAGGGTTAGGGTTATAAGAGAATCTTGAATTAATCCCTGGGTTAGGTTCTCATACCGTATTAGGGCTTGGTCATTCTGAAGCCGATAGGCACTGCTATAAGCCAAATGCTCACAGAGAGCCTTCATCGTCATAACCGGTACTCCACTGTCATTGGCTTCATCGTGAAGCCTCTGCATCGCGCTGTTTGACCATCGAATGCGGATGCTGCCGACATGGCCATCATATGTTTCGGCCGGGAGTATACAGTTATAGTGTGCAAAAGCCATGATAGATAAGGTCAGAACTAGGCTACAGATGCCTGCTGTAGGGAAAATATTGTGTTGTTATAATGGTGCTAAGCCGTAAGAGATTAAGTTAAGTGATACAAGATTTAACAAACTGACAAGACAGACCCCTTATATACTTATACATGTTCTTATATGCTATGGCGGCTGTCTGTATCTTGACCTAGTCCCATTGGCTGTTAGTAAGGTAACTCCCTCTGGCTCCATCCTGGCCTGGCCTTTAAGCGCGCTATATAACTTATATGGCTAACACAAGGCCAGCGTATCGCCAGCGGGTGGGGGCTACTGGTATGATTTTGCTGCTAGGCCATAGGTATAACTCTAGGTTGTAACACTTATCTGCCTGGTGTCCTGGTACTAACCGTGGCAAGGGGTTCTTATCCCTATTATTAGCATATTATTAGATTCATTCAACACTAGGCCTATATTTATAACCTGGTTAAACCAGCCCTTGTAAAGAAATCCTTTTATAGACTGGCCAATTAATTACCTTACAATAAGAATAGAGAAATATTTTCTTGAACCAACACTCATATAAGCGCCTTGGCTGCATCCTGTGTCGGGCCTTGCCTTATCTGACAAAGGCCCACTTATTACACCCCTGTTAAATCCATCACGTGAAGAGGCGCTGTAGTGTTTTCTCAGGAACCTTGGCTGATTTGTTAATCCTACCTTACCTCTATCTTAACCATAACCCCTCCTAGCCCTAATCCTAGCGCTTCCTCTAGCTTTTATATACTTCTAAAGATTTCAATCTCCCCTACCTTCAGAAATAATCAAGGCCACCCTACGACTCGAAACTCTCTGCCATCAGTATGCCCAGTTGTGACGATGATATCCTTGATCGAGGTGATTTCGTGGACTCAGATAACGAACATGAAGTCGAGGAGGCTTCTGAAGACCCTGAACGCTATCTAGAGGGACTTTACTACCCTATCTGCATTGGCGACATCCTAGCCGGCCAGTATCACATTGAACATAAGCTAGGCCACGGGGGATTTTCAACTGTCTGGATGGCATATGACATACTTGGGAAGACAGATGTGGCTCTTAAGATTATGACGCCTGAGAAGCCGGGTGAGCGTGAGTATGAAATGCAGAGAGAGATTATCAAGGTCGTTCAGACCACCTCCTATCTCACGCTTTATCAAAATACATTCACCCTTCGTGGATCTCACGGCACCCACCGCGTCCTCGTTTTGCCTCTACAAGGTCCTAACCTTCGAGATTATCGACGTCAAAAACCAGCTGCCAATCGGATGTCAGCTGCCAAGCAACTGTTACAAGCTATCAAACAACTGCATGATGGTGGAATCGTGCATGGGGGTTAGTCAACTTACCTTAGCCCTCTTATGCCCCCTTATACTGCTTTATAATAATATGTAAACTAATATATTTTTACAGATCTAAGTAGTGCAAATATTATGTACTCTCTCCTGCCTATTGATCACAGCACTGCAACTGCAAAGTACCAGTGCATAGGGCGCCCTAAGAAAATACCTCTATATCCCGACCTATGGAAAGCAGGCGAGCTCGTCATGCCAATGCAGGTCGACAAAAACCTAATAGGAGATGATATATCTCTTGGAGATTTTGGACTAGCAATTAAGTCAGGCACTCCAGTCTCGCAAAAGCTGCAGTCGCCTCTTATTTATTGCGCACCAGAGAAAATTCACAATCATGGCCCAACGTTCGCCACTGACATGTGGAGCTACATGTGCATTTTCGCACAGCTATATATGGGCTATAATCTCTTTCATGGCGCGACAAACTCTCTAATAGTGTCGTCCATGATTCAGACTCTAGGACCCTTTCCTGCTATATGGAGGGGAACTTATGAGGCAGGCGGCGCTTGTGATGACCAGTGGTATAATGAGGGATATGAAAGAATCCCTTCAATGGCACTTGAAAACAAGGTAGCACGGCATCGACCGGATGCTGATACGGTAGAGCGAGAGCTTGTGCTTTCCGTGCTGCGGAAGGGACTTTCATATCTGCCCGAGAATCGCCTAACTGCCAGTCAGCTGCTAGAGGATAATTCTTTAAAGGCGCTTATAGAGATGTATAGATTATAAAACTTTATAATGTCTTTTTATAATGCTATTAGTATAAGAATTTCTTTATATTTTATATATAACGTGCATGATAAGCGAAATGGTCAGATAAGCGAAATGGTCACTTTTCCCTCAATCTCTCCTCTTTCTATTTGATTACTTATTTCTCAACCACCTAATATGCCACAATCAATTAATGAGGCAAATATCATTCTTGCACTTCAAGCCTACCAGAATGACCCAAAATTGAGTCTTCGACGCGCTGCAAAGATCTATAAAGTTCGCTATAGTAATCTCCTTAACCGATATAATGGCATTCCTGCTCGACGCGATATAATGCCTAATTCACGCAAACTATCTGATTTAGAGGAACAGACTCTTATTCAGTTTATTCTCGACCTGGATTCGCGAGGATTTTCCCCCCGGCTATGTAGTGTGAAAGAAATGGCTGATCAATTACTTGCCGACCGCGACGCGCCACCAGTCGGCACGCGTTGGGCTTCAAACTTCGTCAAGCGACACCCAGACCTTAAGACGCGTTCTTTTCGGAAATACGACTACCAGAGAGCCAAGTGTGAAGATCCAACTATTATCCGTAACTGGTTTACGCTTATGGCGAATACAATCGCGAAATATGGCATCCGATCAAATGATATCTATAACGTCGACGAGACTGGCTTTCTTATGGGCATGATTGCAAGCGGAATGGTCGTCACAGGTACAGATAGGCGTGGAAAACCAAAATCAGTGCAGCCTGGAAACCGGGAATGGATTATGGTCATTCAGGCGATTAATGCGGATGGTTGGGCGGTCCAGCCGTTTATCATCGGTGCGGGCCAATATCACCTCGCCAACTGGTACCGAGAAAGCAACCTCCCGGGCGATTGGGCTATTACAATAACCCAAAATGGCTGGACCGATAATAAGACCGGTTTAGAGTGGCTAAAGCACTTTGACCGGTGTACGACCAATCGATCAACTGGTTTCTATCGTCTCTTAATCCTTGATGGGTATGAAAGCCACCACTCGATCGACTTCGAGAGATATTGCGAGGAAAATAAGATCATTAGGCTTTGTATGCCGCCTCATTCGTCTCATCTACTTTAGCCCCTTGACGTCGGGTGCTTTAGCGTGCTTAAGAATGCTTATGGTCGAGAAATAGAGCATTTGATCAGATGCTCTATAACCCACGTTTCGAAGACTGAGTTCTTTCCGGCCTTTTATGCCGAATTTCAAGCTACTATGACAGAAAGAAATATCAAGTCGGCCTTTAGAGGAGCTGGGCTTGTTCCTCTTAATGCGGAAAATGTGGTCTCAAAGCTTGATATGCAGCAACGGACTCCAACGCCAGTTGAGGAGGTGGCTAGCCCGTCAACACCTTAGGTCTCAAAGACTCCAAAGACCGTGCTTGAGGCTGGGTCTCAGTCTGAATATATTGAAAGACGAATTAGAAGGCATCAGAACAGCTCCCCAGAGTCAATCCTAGGCGCTCTGAAGTCTCTTTCAAAGGGAACAAAGGCAGTTATGCATGAGGTTACCTTATTACGGGGTCAGGTCCAAGACCTTCAACAGGCAAATGAGATATTAAGCCGCCGCCGGAGGGCAAGAAGGACCCGACTGCAGAAAAGAGGGGTAATGACAGTAGAGGAAGGAAGGCAAGTAACTGATCAGATGGATGTTGATGCGCAGGTAGTGGCCGAATCATCCCGAAGTGGTGGTCAAGGAAGGTCGGCGCGACCAAGGGTTCGGCATTGTGGTATATGCGGTAAGCCTGGTCATAATGCAAGAACCTGATAGGTAATAATTGAGACATCTGGGGAAGAGTATAGTGAGTAGTTTTAATTAATTAATTAATTTGTTGTGTTTTTATTCCGATTTCTAGTTTAGAGGTTGAGAAATGTGACCATTTCGCTTGTCTCGCTTATCATGTACGTTAACCCTAGTGCTTACTAATGGGTAATATATTGCGGTTAACTAGTAGAGAATCAGCTATTTCTTTAATAAAACATAGTTATAAGGGAAATCGTCGCGAATCTAGGTTGAGAATGAATTAGACTATTATCTGTTTCTCTAGATCAGATAGTTTACGTGACTTTGGGATAAAATCGCATCGTGATTGAATGCCATTCTTTTAATCGCGGAGGGTTCTATAGCTGACTTGGCAGGCCTTTGCGGCACGTCGGAGACTTATTTTTGGGTTATTCTGAAGGGCTTGAAGTGCAAGAATAATTCTAGCTTTATTTGAAGATTGTGACATATTGGGTGGTTGAGAACTGTTTGATCAGATAGTAATAATGTAGATTGAGGGATTTTTGGTCGGCATGCTTATCAACCACGTTATAAGATAAAATCTTAATTAACTTAATAGATTAAGCTATAAGCAGCCTTTGGTATAGTAAAACCCTCGGTAATTACTGTTTTTCCCTATAGCAGACAAATCTTTGTATAGCTACCCCCTACCCTATCTCCTTGCTATATATACGAAGTGTCCGTGGCAGGCTGAATTCATCTCCATCATGCTTAAAAACCAAAGAGCCTGCATGTTCTCTAAGCGATGCTCTGCTGGAACTGGACAAGTGAAGGAAGTTATCGATTAGCGAAATTTTTCGCACCTTGTCATTTGACGCATAAGTAATTCGATGAGTATCGTAAGGAACCCAAGCCGCTAGTGGTGCGCAGCTGTCCCACCTATTGTCGAGTTCACTTGGATCTAGTGAAGTCGTGATATACCCTGCAAAGTAAAGAAGTTCTGGCGGCGCCGGGCCAGTCATTTCAAGAATTCCCGACCCCGCAACGTCTAGCCATGAGCGGTAGGTCCCACGACCATAGATATTCTCCTGAGGAGATATCATCGCCAGTAATAACGCCAGGTACCAGTAATCGAGAGCGTATAAGGACGCCGCTGCTTCCTCGGTTCGTAGTCGTAAGTCATTGGAGGCAATATTTTCGTAGGTTGTGGTGGTCATTAACAGTGTCCAGAGCCACTGCCAAATACGAAGACCTAGTAGTATTGATGCGGCTAGGGTTAGAGCTATGTTTTCGTTGCCGATCTTCGCCGAAGTAAAGAGCCCAATTATAACCGCAATGCCAGCGTTGGTAGCGTTGAGGTTGAGACAGGCAAATATTCGGCCAAGGAAGGTTAAATGAGCAGACAGTTCTCCTCCGATAAGGTGTACGTTCTTCGCATATTTGCCTTCATGAGTCTTGTAGAGGAAGTCATTGATTACGGCGGCAGGACCTTTTCGGAAGTTGACTTTGCTGTCCCCAAACAAGCAATGAAAGATGATACGGAGTTTATGTTGAACTATGTGCACTCCACCATCTTGTTGAGGAGGATTGAAGGTGAGTATAGGTCCTGGATTCGTAGAAGGAGGACATTCTAAACGGATGTAAACCTGGTTGTACTCCAGAGTTGAGCCATTAAGGGCTTTTTGATGCGCCGTTTTGTCGCGCAGATGACTAATAGATCCACATGCACTCGCTCCGTGCCTTGCACCGTTGAGGAGGAGCGTATCACGGTAGGCTGCTTCGAGAGTGTTGATTGCCCCTCGGGTAACATCGAAATTGTCAGCAACCCTTTCGAGATTGCTATCAAAGGTCGGACTGAGCTGTGAGACTGTAACAAAGCCGATTCTGGTGGTATAGAAGGTTACAGTTGAGCAATAAGGAGGTACAAAGCGAGTGATAACGTTATAGCCTTGCGCTCTGGCTTGGCATATGATGTGCCTCGCATTTAATTCAATAGTCGATTGTAATCGGGGGTTGTTGTTGTCCGAGAGGTCTCTAATGATTTTTCGTTGGATACGTCGGTCAAGATTAGGAGACTTGAAGATGGTTTCAACCAAAGAATTATAACGCACTTGACTCATATTTGGTGTTTAAGATGCTCTTACAGCTAAAGAAGGAAATACGAGCTGCAAAGTTTTCCGGGGAGGAGTAACAAAGTATATGTAGAAATATTGCTCTTGAAGGTCAAAGATATAGATGGAAGATAGCTAGATTATCTGTGTCGGCATGGGGTTGAATGTAGGTTAGCATGCTGTACCACAACTCACCACCTCCCGCAGCCACAAACATGTACCCCAACCAGAGGTCTAGGTGATAATGCAAATCCGAAAAGCCACAGAGATAAAATGATGTAATTTCGTAAAATACAAGTCACAGGAATTTATGCACGAAGAAGGTGGAAGAATGGGCTTGTAATGGCCCAACCATAACAAATCTTCCTATTTTAGGGTTTACCCCGTGCGTAAACATCTGTACGAATAAATTTGGAGGCTGCAGATTCAATTGGACTGCGTCCGAACTGAGATATCGAACTGCTGGTAGACTTTTAATAGTTCAAGCCACAGATCCTGGCTATCCACTTGACAGATGAACTGTGCTACAAGCAGATGCTGCTGACATGTGATCGCTTAAAACTGGGAAGTTCCACTCTTTCTGCATGTGCCAGCAAATGAAGGTATATGGAGCCATGGCGCTATTGTCATATCACCGGACGGCACAGTACAGGGCTACTATTTCAAATTGACTTACATGGGTTTGAAAAGAATATTAGCGATAAGTCAAAAAGTTGAAAACAGTTATAAACCCAGCTTCATGACGGATTATTAAATAATTACACAGGGGTAGAAGAGTATGCATTGTTATTGGCCTTAATACAGGAAGGCATTGCGTTATATGTTTTCATGCTTGAGTAGGCCGATATTGTAACGCCTGGCTTATCTCATTTCCTAGCGTTGGATGCTTCATTAGTGGATGTTGTTTAGATAGGGTTAAAGGCTCTTGGGTAGGTGCAGATAAATTGTAAATTAGAGCGTGTTGCGACTGGACAAGGCTCTAGTTTCGTTGACCCTTAGCAGGAAGCTCCTTTTGCCAACGGATATCATGCGTATTAGTGACGCAGTTTATAGTCTTTTCGGGACTATTACCAGAGAGCTGTATGGAGCTTATTTAACTGCCGCTGTAGCGTTTTGACATTTACAAGTCATCGTAACCCTCAGCGTTACATTTAGTGGTGGGCACATTTACCCGCACCGACGTGTTTGTACTATATTCACCCTGGTGTGTGCTTGAGAGTACGTAAAGCGCATCCACCAGTATTAGCGTTGTTTCCTCAATGCGTGGAAGATTTCTTTTGCGATATTAAGCACGATCACTGCGGGATCTCAAACTCCAGTCAGGTTTTCGCTGCGCAGCGAATCCTAGGCTCCTCCTCGAGGGCGCTAACTGGTGGACGCAAGCCCAAGGTCTAAGGGGCAAAACCGCCATTCACTCGGGGAACTCAATGAACCTCCTGTGAACTCGAAGGCTCCTGGGAAACAAGGATGGGAACCATTCAATTCAATCAACGGAATGCCTCAGTTGCGTTGAGTTGACCTGGTCAATCATAATTCCCAGTGGAGTTGATCAATTGCGAGTCAAATTGAGTTGAATGTCCACTGGTTGAAGTCGTTGACCTCCAAGCCAAGCTATATCCACCCTCGCTCTTCCATCTCCTTGCCTTCACATCCCATCGCTACCCACGGTGTTTCATCCGCCCCAACACCAGTACTCTCTTCGACAGGAAGAAACAATTCGTCCAAATCGTCGATCACCCCAGCCCGTAACCACGACCGCAACACTTGGCACATACCTATAATATCAGCATCAAGCCGGCTCCGTAGCGGCGTCACCATACGTCCTGCCGCTGCAAACAACCTCTCACACTCTGCTGACATCGGCTGAATCGTAAGGAAGTCCAACGTCATTCGTGAGAGACGAGGATACCGCCGTCTGCGCTCATGCCAATACGATATTGGGTCTCTAACATCGTTGTCCCCATCCTCCCACGACGACTGCCATGATTCGAGCTCGTCCATCTCGTCATCGATGCCGTCTGGCGAAGAAGCTTCCTCTTTCACCATACTGCACCCGGAGACTGGTCGAGTGCGCTCACAGTACGCCTGAAACGGGTTGTAGTACTTCCGCTGTCGCTTGGCAACTGGTTCGTCGGCCACGGAGTTTCGTACAATCTGAAGGTGACGATATTCCCTTTCCCATACTTCTCGAACCATCTGCTTCGCCTTTGTGACCCATTCCGCCTTGTCCTTCCACTCATTCTCGAAATATCCCCATCGGAAGGCCGGGTGTAACGCTAAAGCCGTGTAGTAGATCGGCGTCTCGTCCAACCTGCTGTAGTATTTATTGAGCTTTTCCCAACCCAGATTGATGTTGATTCTGAAGTGCTCCGCATCAGGTATCTCCGATGCAAGCTTCTTGTAGTCCTCCAGCACCTCCAACAGGAACTCGAAGCCCTGGATAACCTCCCACACATTACCGTAGGAGCCAACCCACCCTCGTTTCCGCCTGCGCTGCTGACCGTCCCCTTCTAGAGTCTTGACAGCATCCTCGTAGAACCCAAGAAGCTTGGCCAGGTGGTCGAGCACGTCCCAATCATTCGTCGTAAGCTGGTTTTCCTCCAAGCAAATCTGGGGCTCCTTGGCTGACTTCCTGAGGTTGCCTGTCCTCCTCGACCGATTATCCTGCTCCCATTGTTGACGATGCTTCAAGACGAGCTGCTCGACGAATGGCCGAAGAGTGAGGGCGCGCCTGATCATATACAGTTGAGAAAGCCACCGGGTATCATTGTCAATGATCAAATCGAGTGGTTTCCCTGCTTTGATCCTGGGATCCGAAGACATGTCGAATTTAGAACGTTGTATGCTCCGCAGAAGATAAGTAAGCTGGTCCGACCTTCTGACTTCAACCACGAGGTTGTGCAGCTTTCCGACAGGTCCTTTGCGCCGCCAGAGTGCGTGCTCTGCCTCAGACAGTGCCGCTGCGCCTGATAACTGTTCCTCGAAAGCCTCAACATTGTGGCCAAACAGCAGCGCTTTGGCCGAGAGATTTAGAGTATGGCCGAAGCAGCGTCCACGCCTCGTCGATCCGACAAACCCAAGCTCGCCACCAATTACCTCCATGGCCTTATCGTTGCTTTCTGCGTTGTCCAGTGTGAAGTACCCAATTCTGTCCTGGATCCCATAGACATCAAGAACGTCAAGTATTTCGGCCGCAATGTTGTGTCCGAAATGGCGCGTTCATAATTCAGGCACGCCAAGCACCAGCTTGCGCGGCTGGCTATTCTCGTCCCGAAAGAAACAAGCAATCCCGTACAGGCTGTGCCTGTTGCCTGACTTCCATCCGTCAAAGGAGACGTGAATCAGGCCGCTTGACTGCTTCAACGCCGCTATAACCTTACCCTTGTGTGATTCGTAGGCTGACAGGATTCTGTGGCGGATAGTCTTCCTGGTGATACTGGCATCAGTGATCTTGACAAGTGGGTTGAGGTATTCGAATATCTGGCGCAGTCTTCCCTGTTCACAGATGCTGAATGAGTGGTTCTCCTCAATGATCCATTCCAGTAGAAGACGCTGGAAGTGCTTCCGGTCGAAGCTCTTAACAAGACTATTCGCAATCTCTTGTTCGCGTGGGAGCCTAGTATCGAGCTTCATTACATCAGCGATCGACCTCTGATCTTTCGTCTTCATCTTCTCTGCTTTCTTCTGAGCTGCTGATTTCGTCGCTTCAGCAGGAGCCCATATTCCATGACCTTTGAATAAATGAGCGTTCGCGTTCTGGATGCCCTTTTTTGCGAAACTTCTTAGTCTTAGGCTCTTGTTTTGGATACAGCGTTTGCAGACCCATCGGCGGCTGCCATTGAGATTCTGAATATCGTACCCAAAATCCCATACCCAGGATGATGTATCGCGAACACGTTGTGACCATACATGGTCGGGGAAACACCGCCAGAGGTATTGATGTTCTGGACCTTGAGGTGTTTCTGATCGCACGCTGGAGGCAGGTGTTGCTAGGAAAGCTTCCACAGGCGTCATGCGGGAGAGCGTCTCGGTTTCATCGTTCATTGAAGGCGTGGTGGGTTCCATTTTGTCGGATACAGCACGTCGTTGGCCTTGGTGTCGCAGCACGGAACTTCTTGTCCGTTGAGACGCGATCGCGAAGTCGCGTTTAGGTTCTGGGCATTACCCTTGGCTTGTCTCAACTACCTTGGGCTTAGCGTGATCTGAATTGTGAGGTGCAGGGGCCACCAGTCGACTTGGCTCGAATGTCACGGCCGCTGGGCCATGACCGACGGCCAAAAATCCGGGCAAAATCTTCTAAGTTACCCTAAATCAACAAGTCAACAAATTCAACCCATTCAATCAACAGAACATCAAAATGGATTGACGTATTGCATAATCAAATCTCGATGTTGATTGAGTTGAATTGACGTTGATCATCAATCCATTCAATATCTTGAAATACGTTGAGTGGTTCCCATCCTTGCTGGGAAAAGACATTGCAACCATTGTCAAGATCTTGCCAACTGCTGGAACTTACTTTGCTCCTACTAGGGATGCAGTTAGAAGCTCGAAGATTGTACCACACTTTATACATGTTCAGGTACACTATGGAAAGGAATCGAATAGTTGTCTCCTGAATACCAACGATGGCCAAAGAATATGCCTACCCATTACTTTCCGCTCTTATGATGTCCAGAATGCAGTAAAGAACGCGCAGGGAAGAAGAATATCAAGCGTCACTCTGAATGCTTGCACCCCAAAATGCACAAGAGCTTGGAACTGGCGAGAGATGCTCACCTATTTCCAATGAGGCACAGAACGCCCTAATAATCGCAGCGATAATTCATAGCTATACACATACAAGATTCGAGAAGGAATATGTTCCTTTTGTTCTTCCGCAAGATGTTGGCGGCGAGATAGTTCCATTTTGATTGCCCATCAATACTTACTGCTGTTCGACTTGGATACTGCTGACTATTTACGCTTAAAAGGCAGTGCCGTATACAATTTATCACCCTGGGTCATTTTTTGGTGCATGGATCTGCTTGGGCTTGGCATGATAGATTTGCCCATATGCATCCATTGAGACAATTGGACCACGTCTCTTCAGATGCAGATGATCCCGTCTCAATATTGTGGCTACCTTGCTTCTTTACATCTTCAAGCCGTCGATCCAAGGCATGTCGTCACAATGTGCAACGACATAACTTTTTATACGATTTTGCTTTTACATTGACCTCTCTCCATCACTCCCAACCCTATCAGCCTGCTCCCTTCAATTCCTAAATCCACTCAACTTTACCCCTAACAGCAAAAAGACTCTATAACCAGGCTTTCGCTCAAATGCTAATATTTCTCTCCCCTCAAGAGAATAAGGGCTATAACTGAAAGTTTAGATGCCTCGACAATAGGTGAGTAAAATGTGTTGAAAATAGCAGCCTAACCATTAGGCCGTCACCGAAAATTGAAGATTTCTGGCGCCGCCAGATTGCTGCCACAACTAAGCACCAAGTGCAGATGCCAGTATGCGACCTAAACTTAAGCTCAGACGTTTTATTATATGGTAAGTCTAAAATAAGAACTTACGCTCCAAACGTCAAGGTCTTACCGCGCTTACATCCTCGAATTATCTGTATTATGCTATAATTACCTTTTCTACTTCCTTATTTATATAACTAAAATACAGAATAATGAAATTTGTACTAAATTATCCTGATTTTATTTTTTCTTGTCTTATCCCTATGCTTAAAAAGTAAAAATTATAATGGTAATAGACTGGCGCTTGCTTATATTCGTATTCAGTAAGAGAGTTTTGGCATTTTGTTTAAGAACTATTACTATTATATGTATTTGGTCTGCTCTTGCAATCTACTGCTACTTAGTCGCCCTTATTGCTTCGTTCAAACCCTGCCCGTTAACGCACAGATACTATACAGCCCTTGCCGCGCTGCCTGTTCGCTATAACCGCCAATACCGAGCCCTTAACGCAAGCAGCGCCAAATACGATGCCTGAATACGAGGTCAAGCTCCCGCTCGAACCCACCGCAGTCCTTTGCCCCAACAAGGAGCTCGAGAGCACCGTCCTATCGACCTTTGATATGCCCTCAAGTGTCACCAAGCAGAATATCCAGTTTCTCAACCCGATTGGTAAGGATATCTATACCGCCGGTTGGAGCGTACCCATTCGCAAGATTGAGAACGACGATGGTTTCGACGCCGGCGATGCGAAGTACGGGGCGCAAGTCGAATGGGGCTATTAGAAGCAGACGCTCTCTATTAGCTGCAAGACGAAGGTGGTAGAGTCTATAAATAGCTGGATGGATCTGCCGGGGGAGTTAAACTTGCGTGTAATGTTAATTGACGAAGCGCCTAATAATTTTGATAACTGGCAGGGCAATGACTGGGGCACTGGTGCGTTGGTAGAGTTGCGTATCTTTGGGCCGGTCTGCGCTAAGCGCTCTGTTGGTAAGTGGGAGGGGATATGGCTCTACATTAAGGTCTGGCCTATTGGCAACCGTGTAGATACTGAAATCGACTACCTCGTTGAGGCATCTTTTAAGACTGAGTGTTGCAGGACAACCTCGATTAAGCATGACAGTCTTATCTCCTACCTGCAAGGCAAGGGTTGGTTTCTCTGTAAGGACTCACTAAAGATGCAGCTCATTATGGAGCGCTATTAATATAGGAAGTTACTAGACGCAAGGATCGTTCTTAATTTGACCTCCGCGATAATGGATTCTGAAGGAACAGAAGAGAGTTCCTAACTATAGATGAAATATTATCCTATCAGCTGCAATTCACTATCCAAATAACCCTCTCACAATACATAACATAATTACCTTATAATCTATCTGCCTTGTGATGTAGTTTTAGCTTTCGGCATATCTGTTCTAGTATGACACCTGCTGAGTTAGCCCTCACCCGGAGCACCCGCTCCGCGGAGGGTTTAGTAGAACTGTCTAATATCTTTTCTATAGTATCCGGGCTCCTAACAAAAGAAATAAGCACGAGATGTATCATTGGCCTCCCAATTAACCTGATGAATGATTAAAACCGTTGTCTAACGATCTTATCAAGTGATTGCCCTGGAGCGGCATGCCCCTGACTTGTAAATCAAATTCGAGCCTGACAAGTGATTAATTGCGTAGATATTCTTGCACTGGCAGACTGACCAACAGTTTATTCATCGTTGCATGCTTCCTTTTCAAATTCCGCGGCACCGACTTACGCTCCGGCCGAAATTTTAGCATTTCTGTGCAAAGCTTGTCTATCATCCTTTTACACATCCTGCGCACGGGCAGCCACTTATCCATTATCACGTCGATATAGACTATCAGGAACACTGCGCATCTCGTCGTCATTATCGAATCATTCTTCTCCTTCGGCTGGTCGCGCTGTGGCCGTTAACCTGCGTATAATGCACCTTTACTCGTATGCTAAAGTTAGCTCCCCTGTGGCAATTGGTTAGAAAAACCTGCGTCTTTGGGAACATTTCCTAAAAGCCTAAATTCACTCATATAGGGGGCTGGCTTAGAACTTCATTATTATCGCTGTATTGCAGATTAAGCTTTAATAAATTTGACCTGTAATAATAGTCTTAGAGTCTGCAGGTTTAATTGCGCTACCTTTATACTGCGAGCTTAAGCTGCTGGTAAGTGCTTTAAGGTTTAGGCCTAGATTCAGTCTATTTAATTGTGGGTGTACTGACCTATAAGTCGGATATTGCCGGCAGATGATAGCCTAGAGTGGGAAGTTTCACTTAGCCTGCATATGCCGGTAACCTAAGGCATATTCAACCATAATGCTATTGTTGCATCGCCTAATTAAGGAAGTATAGGACTATTCATCTATATTGGCTGATATGCATTTAAGGATAAGTATAAGCCATAAAACCTTAGATTAGTTACAAACTCTGCTTTATTATAGGATTATTAGAGCTCTTAATGAGGTGTAGAAGAGTATGAATTGCTGTTGGTCTATAATAACAAATACATTCCGTTTTATATTGATATACTTGACTAGATCTATATTGCAAGGCATCACTTGTCCCCCTTTTTTTGCGTTGTTGCGCGTTGGTGGATGTTGTTGAGACAAAGTTAAGGCTCTTAGGCAGGAGCGGGGATAAATTCAACGGAGCGTGTCGCGCTCGACAAGGTCCCGGCTTGGTTTCAATAATATTCCGAGCTGGGGAGTGGCTAAAAATAGCTGTTTACGAGGAAAAGTTCAAGACTAGCTTTAGCGTATGACGGTGTATTTACATAAGCTATATGTCACTAACCCCACTTGCCATTTTTGTCCCCTACCTACTAAACAGCAGTAAGTGCGATTCTGGAGGGTAAATACGGGGAAGAGATTTATGGGACTGTGATTGGACGGAAAGGGGGAATACAGTGCGTTTCCGGTCTATATACTTCAGTAGGTCGTCATTATGGGAGATGATAATTACATATATGATTAGATAGGAGATACTGATTGATTGATAGATAATATCAGTTGAGTGGTACTGATTGAGATGGGTGAGTGAGAGAGCCTTGTCGCCGCGTGTTGACAACGGCAAGGGAAGGGCAAATAAACAACGACGATGACGACGACGACGGGTTATTAACCCCCAGGGCCCAATCAGCTTGCACGGTTACAAAGTGTGTGATTTCATGAAGGTATGAAAGGCAAGGTTAGCGCGCACGGACGCAAAGTGTGTATTTTGATAAATTACCGTCTATCCTTGGTACAGTAGGGATGTAGAAAGGCAGGGACAGGAACTGGCCCCGTTTCAGTCTGTAAGACCCTTATTAAAATTGAAGGAATTGATTGGAGGAGAAGTGGAAACGGGGCCCGTTTCTGTCCTTAATACTTGAATAGACGATTTGAGTCAAATCGCCTGCGAATAACACCTAGGTCGAGAGAACCCATCTTCTTATGCACAATGACCTCTATGCAAAGATCCTGAAATCACTAAACTCGCATTTTGAGGCACTGCTTGCTCTGTCTCGCGATCTAAACGTGGCCAGAGATCTAGTCTTACAAACCCTCAAAATGATAGCCCAAGTACCCTCAAACAGGCCTAACATAGAATTAACTATTCGACATAGCCCAGCAAATTGACTCGGCCTTTTCTAGAAAAGCCTCTTCTAGAGAAGCCTCTTCTACTCTGGCGCCCATACATTATTAGGCGATGACATTATGACATCGAATAAGCCAATCAGCATAAAGAGGCGTTTGGGTTACGGTGCCAGTGATCCGGTCTACGACGGATCTCCACCATAAAGCTGGGAGCTATGGCTTGCTCAGCTGTGGACTTGGGAACGGATGACATTTGGGCGAAGCGAAGCTATGAGGTAGATGGGGGGCTAGAATGCTTCAAGTGGACACAGAGAAACCGAGTTGGTCACTAAGCTGGTGATGTAGGCTGTGTTGAGATTTTATGTGTTGGTTGAACGAGACTGTGTAAGTGGATCGTTATTATTGGATACGCGGTACGTATCTTGAGCGCACGATGAGGTGAATTCGACGGATTATGGAGCAGAAACTGGTGATCTTATTGATTGAAGTCTTGACGATGCCTTGTCTTTCTCTCTCGTCAGAGTGCGGGGGCGTTGGTCCGTACTTGATGTTTTCACAGCCACACGCCACACATATTGTTATAACGAAGGGCAAACCCCTTTCTATCCGCACGCAGGCGCCAATCTAACAGTAATTGGGACGGGCCCGTCCCATTTGTCACGATGTACATTTTAGGCAATGGGGCGTGTGATCGTTATAGCAGTGATACTCCAGCTTGGCCCCCGTAAAAAGATGACCAGGGGACTTGGAGCGGGGAAGCAACTCAACTCAGAATATACACACATCCAATAAGACACCCGGCGAAATCAGGGCTCGTGACACCATTTTAGAAGGACGGGCACCTGGCCGCCTATTACCGCCGTGATAGACATACTTCGTGCACGGGCCAGAATCATTATAATTTGACAAATTACAACCACGACTGTTTACAGTAGTGGTAGGAGGTCTTAGTGACGTAGCTATGACGTCTTTTCAGCTTAACATACTTTAATCTATTCAATTCACTCTTGTCAAATAAGTCTAGGGCCTTCCCTCACACAGGCTATGTACAGACAGAGAGGTTTATGCAAATTGTATTCACAAAACACAGTGCATTTAATGCCTCGCTTTAAAAGTTCCTATACCTACTAAGTTCTTCAGCCCAGAGGAGGATGATTAATCCCAGAAATGGTCAGGTATCTCGGCCCAGGATTCGGGCATTTTGCTTCTTAGAGATCGCTAGCTTTCGCCTGGCACCGTACGAATCCGTTTGCGGGGGAGAGACTGACTGGCAATTGTCAGATCTGCCTGCGCCGGGGGGACTGGATCCACTTAAGCCCGGGACGCACTGCAACCGCACGGGGTTATTCCAACTGGTTGCATCGCCTTCTAAGAGCAAGCCACCTAGGCTGAGGCAGGTTTCTGCAAGACATTGAAATGTTCATTGATGAGACATTTTAACAAAGGACTGAGACTAGGCGGTGAGGGAGGCACGTGAATGATGACTTGACTACTAGGTAGCAGGTTCGTGATTAGGAGTTCCTATTGGACAGATGTATCGTACGAACGAATATATATAATAGATGTCCTCTCCTTCATCTTCATTATACAACAATCAATACTACCAAGTTTGTTCTATCCTGCTATATGTCTTCTCTATGCACATACGCCCTTGAGGTTATTAGTATAAAAGAATCCGAGAAGCCTCCGAAACCTCTATTATGGCACGCAAGACCGGCATCGCTGCAGTCGTAGCGCTAATAGCCGCTGGCCTGACCACCCCTGTAGTCAATGCCTTCCCGCCTGGCACTAAGGACGTTACTGCTGTCCTTTTCGAGTGGAAGTTCGACTCCGTCGCCAAGGAGTGCACCAACACCATCGGTCCCGCCGGCTACGGATATGTCCAGGTCTCTCCGCCTGCTGAACACATCCAGGGCTCGCAGTGGTGGACCTCATACCAGCCCGTGTCGTACCAGATTGCCGGCCGCCTCGGCAACCGCGCGTCCTTCCAGAACATGATTAATACCTGCCACGGAGCCGGCGTCAAGGTCATCGTTGACACCGTCATTAACCACATGTCGGCCGGCAGTGGCACCGGCACCGGCGGCTCGTCGTACTCCAAGTATAACTACCCGGGCCTCTACTCCTCCTTCGACTTTAACGACTGCACCTCCAGCATCTCCAACTACTTTGACCGTTTGAACGTCCAGCACTGCGAACTTGTCGGCCTGGCCGATCTGGACACCCCTGAGGAGTACCCCAGGAAGGCCATATCCGGCTACATGAACGACTTGCTCAGTCTCGGCGTCGACGGCTTCCGCATCGACGCCGCCAAGCACATGGCAACTGAAGACCTTGCTAATATTAAGTCCCGCCTGGCTAACCCGTCTGTGTACTGGAAGCAGGAGGTCATCTACGGCGCCGGGGAAGCCGTCCAGCCCACCGAGTATACTGGCAACGGTGACGTCCAGGAGTTCCGCTATGCTTACAACCTTAAGCGCGTCTTCAACAACGAGAGGCTCGCCTATCTGAAGAACTATGGGGAGGGCTGGGGCTACATGAGCAGCTCCATCGCCGCCGTCTTCGTCGACAACCACGACACCGAGCGTAACGGCGCCACTCTCAGTTACAAGGATAACGCCAAGTACACGCTGGCTAACGTCTTTATGCTCGCTTACCCCTATGCCGCCCCCGATATTCACTCTGGCTACGAGTTCTCCGACACGGACGCCGGACCGCCTAAGAACGGCACCGTTGACGCCTGCTGGCAGGACGGCTGGAAATGTCAGCACGCTTGGCCGGAGATCATGCGCATGGTCGCCTTCCGCAACGCCGTCCGCGGCCAACGGCTGACGAACTGGTGGGACAATGGTAACAACGCCATCGGCTTCGGACGAGGCAACATGGGGTACGTCGCCATCAACCACGAGTCAAGCTCAGTGACCCATACATACCAAACTTCACTGCCTGCGGGCACATACTGTAACGTGCAGAGTAACACCTACGTGACGGTGAATTCGAGCGGCCAGTTCACCGCTACCCTGGGCTCCAATACCGCGCTGGCCATCTACGCCGGGAAGACATCCTGCTGAGAGCCTATCCTACCCGCTAGGTGACGATTATCAACAGCAGGGACAGCGCCTCCTCGTAGTGTAACCCCAGGGGTGGCAGTGTACATCACAACCTAATGATCCCTGTCGGTCATGTCAAGAGCGTCGCTATCAGTTGGAGATTGTTTTCACGTCGTCCTTTCGTTCTTTAAGCCTTAATATCTATCTGATTGATATAGCTGGTATTACTGGTTTGTGTGATGGTGGATTTAGACCTACTATCCAGGACCACCGGGCGAATAGTACCTAGGGACTCAGTTATCAGATTGAATCAACCTTGACCTCTACAGCCTTGAAGAACAACGGAACACGTGATTTGATGCCGGTTGGTTTCATTCAGCTTTCGCCAAGGCAGAATTAATTGATGCGGTAAGACTTCGCATATGCGGCTATGCCTAACCAAAGACAACAAGCCTGAGAGGTAAGGCGTATATGACTTCGCTGGAAAAAATAAACCCGAAGATAAAGAGAATCCTAGGATTCTACTGAACAAAACTAGCAGAGTAGAACTAGGCTGACCATCAGTCACTACATCTCTATGGATTCATTCACTTTCGATGAAGGTGGACGTTTCGCAATGTCATTGGCTGATAATCCTTGTATCAACCCCGCATTCCACTTTCACCTGAAAGAGGGTTCTCAATATATGTGCTCGGAGCAAAGTTTAAGCCAAAGTGGTGATCTCGCTATTTCATTGGTCGACTTTGCTTTTTTTTTCCATTGAAGAGTTTCGACTTCAAGCCATTTAAATGACCTGAACGCGTCGACGCGCGTACGACGTATTTATCCTAGCCGCCTACACGTTCAGGCATACGGGGTTTGAGCAGTTGGAGAGTTCCATTGCCATCACCCTCTCAAGCCATCCGCAAGTATCAATCCCGAAGTTGGGATATTCTCATCATGAAAAGACCAGTCGAAAGTACTCAAACTGATCGTGTCGCGGTTGCTGGAACGAGCGAGCCGATCCCATGGCTCCAGCGCTGCCCACAAATCAAATCCAATCAAACAAACTGCCAAACAAATCAACCAAATATGCCATAATCTTATTTCAAATCAAACAAATAGAAAACTTAGATTTGAAATAACATTTGATATATTTGATACAGGATATAAGGTTGGCGATATGACCTGTCGGGCTGATGAGCACGTCTTTGCAGCTTACCCGGAACCTGCTAATAGCTGGCGACCTGATCTGACCAATCAGAGTCGCTACCAAAAACATCACATATTAACCGACTCAAACTAGACACTAGATATAGTATAAAACTTACTAATACCAGAGAAATATATAATGTAAGAGATTGAAATTCGCTGTATCTAATTGCTTATTACTTCTTCTTGCTTATTGTCTAGATATTCTTCATAGAAGAGGTTGACTTTGTCGTCGACCCCCAAGTATTACAGCCAATTAGAATCTAGTGGATACATGGGGCATCTATTCAGCCAATTGCCGAATTTCGCGGGCAAGATCCATCCATTTTCGGATATATGGGGCCTCCATTTAGCCAATCACTGAATTTCGCGGGCAAAATCCGTCCATTTTTAGCTAGTGCAAAGTTACCCCACCCTATCCAACTGTTATCCTAGCTGCGCGGCGGATTCAGCTGCGAATCCAATGGCTTTTCCATACAAAAAAAAAAGGCGCTAATGGACAGACGACCTGAATCCATTGGACCCCAACGGATTCAGGTCATCCCCAACATTTGTTTAGTAAAATGGATTTCAAGCACATGAATCAATTCATTATAGTAAGAGCATATTAAATTTTCATTTTCAGCAACAGAACATCAGAATTGCAACGTTGCGACCGGCTTGAAGTTCAATGCAATTAATCGATCGTAGTTGAAAATGACCAGGATAAGCAGGAATATTAGTCATCCATTTTAGTCAAGCTTGCCAGCACATCCAGTTATGTGGAAGAGGTATAACGTGTTTGATAAGCGAGCGACGCAGACAAGCGAGCGACGCACTTTTCCCTCTTACATCATACATTTTATCTGATCAGATATTTCTCAACCATTAACAATGCCACAACCTTCAAATGAAGCCAGAACCCTCCTTGCCCTTCAGGCCCTTCAAAATAACCCGAAATTAAGTACCCGATGCGCTGCAAAGATATATGAGATCTCTGAGCCTAGGCTACGTCGGCGTAAAAATGGCATTCAATCGCGTTGCGATTCTATCCCAAACTCACGGAGACTATCTGATCTAGAAGAGCAGATTATAGTTCAATTCATTATTGACCTAGATTCGCGAGGATTTCCCTCGCGACTGCGTTTTGTTGAAGAAATGGCCAATTCTCTACTTGCAGATCGCGACGCGTTACCTGTTGGCAAGCGCTGGGCTCATAACTTCGTCAAGCGACAACCAGAGCTAAAGACGCGTTTATTTCGGAAATATGACTATCAGAGAGCTAAATGCGAATATCCGTCTATTATTCGTGGCTGGTTTAGGCTCGTACAGAACACAATCGCGAAGTACGGTATTAGATCAGATGATATCTGGAACTTTGACGAGACTGGCTTTATGATGGGCCATATTATGGCCGGAATGGTTGTCACAGGTTCAGAAAGGCAAGGAAGGCCAAAATCAGTGCAGCCTGGAAACCGGGAATGGATTACAGTAATCCAGGCGATCAATGCGGAAGGTCAATCGATTGCGCCATTCATCATTGGTGCAGGCCAATACCACCTTGCGAATTGGTACCGAGAATGCGAGCTCCCCGGCGATTGGGTTATTGCAACGAGCCAAAACGGATGGACAAATAACCAACTGGGTCTCGAGTGGCTAAAGCACTTTGATCGGTCTACAACTAATAAATCAACTGGTCCCTATCGTCTTTTGATCCTTGATGGTCATGAAAGTCACCACTCTGCCGATTTTGAGAGATACTGTGAGGAGAAGAAGATTATTACGCTCTGCATGCCGGCTCATGCATCTCACCTACTTCAGCCTCTTGATGTTGGGTGTTTTGGGCCGCTAAAAAAGGCATATGGTCGAGAAATAGAGTTTCTGATCAGATGCTCTATAACCCACATTTCAAAAACCAGTGTTGCTAATAATATAAACAATACGATATTGGCAATATGAACCCCCTCGCAATATTATTGTATTGTCAAGGGGCGCATATTGTATTATCCAATATGAACATGACTCGTATTATATGTATTGCCAAGAAGCTAATATATTGGCAGTGTGACAATACATGCAATATATTCCACGTGACCCGTTCAAATCTCGTCACCCTGGAAATCTCGTATCCCACACCATGATTTAAGGCACTCCAATGCCTCAATGACATCACTCCCAAGTCGATTTCGACGGTCTGTAATCGTTATCTTCGCCCCAGAGAAGAGCCGCTCCGGCTCCGCAGACATTGCAGGAATTGACAGTTTATCCACAGCCATCTTACTCAGGTTCGGGTAGGTTTTCTGCTGTGTCTCCTCTAGCCACCATGCGAGGGCGCTCGTAAAGCCATAAACCCGTTCAGAGTTGCAATATCGCTCATATTCGTCCATGGTGAGTGACGGCTGCAAGTGCTTGTTCCTCCAATTCAAGAACTCGTTGGTGGTTGTCGATGGGACCTCGCAGAGAGGAAGCGGTGGTTCCATAGGTTTATATTCGTTCCACAGTGTCTCAATCAGCTTCTTTGACGGCTCAATCCACTCTTCTTTCCAGTTCTCCTGGATGTAGTGCCATTTGTGCGAAGGATGAAGCACAATAGCCGCAACGTACGCAGGCGATTCTTCAGTAAGGCGGTAGTACTTATCCAACTTGGCCCAGCCCGAGTTGTACATTGATGCCATCACCGGATCATTCATAGTTGCCTCCTTGCCGGCTTCGAATTGTGCCAATACGAAGTCCATCGCCAAGAGGACATTGTCGAGTGTTGCAAACGATGACTCGAGAGCTTTGGTCGTCATCTTCAGCTTCTCCAGGAAGGACTTAACCTTCTCCAAGATGACCCAGTCCTCTGGAGAGAGCTCGTCTCCAGCGCAATCTGATTCCATCCATTTGTTGAAATAGCCGTCAATCGCATCTCTGAGGTTCAGGGCCACTCGCAACATGTTATACCACGAACTCCATCTTGTATCGTTGTCCCGTGCGAGCTTGTGGTTATGGCTCACGGCAAGGAACTTTTGGCCGCGCTGGACACTGCGTTGGATGAAAACGACGAAGTTGTGAAGCTTGCCAAGAGGCCCCTTCTTCCGCCACGCTTCAATATGTCTTAGTGTCACATTATGCACGCTAGGATCGTCGACTTCGAGTTTCTCATCATCGGTGATGAAAAGAAAGGCTTTGGCAGCGAGGTTGATGATATGACCTTGGCAGCGCAGTCGGTGCACTTTGGGGTCGTATTGGATGTCATATCGGCGTAGGAGGCCTGCAGGATGTTAGGGCCACCAGTCAGGAGAAACAACGAGTCATTGTGCTGACCAAGTGAAAGGGATCTCATCATGGTGTCATTATTCCCAGCATTGTCCATTACGAAATAGCCAAGCTTGGAGGCAAAGCCCCATTCATCTACCACATTCAAAACAGCCACGGCAAGATGAGAACCGTCGTGCTCACTGTCGATATCTTTCAACGCCAAAACATGGTGTTCCAGCTGACCGTCTTCTGTGACATAGTGTGCGACTATGCCTAGGATGGCCAAAGAGTTGGGAGAAGTCCAGAGGTCACAACTGATGTGAATTCTTGACTTGGCCGACTGTATGCGCTGTTTGACCTTCTCCTTCTGGTCTTCGTACTGCCGCATGATCCATTTTCTGATGGTCTCATGAGTGTCTGGAAGCCAAGTATCGACATCTTTATTGATGTAGGCCAAGAGTGCCCGGAACTCTGGACATTCCACCAGCCGAAATGGGAGAGAGCAGGCCGTAATAAACCTCACATATAAAACTTCGAGCTGGTCAGGGTTGATGGAATCACCGGGTTGATCGTTGAGCCGACGACGTTTGTGGGGATTTTCCTCTGCCACAGCACGAGCTCGTTCGAGAATCGTTCGTATCGTTGTCACTTTAGTCGTTCGCGGGGCTCCTCTTGGCAGACCGTGGCCGTCAGGAGGAGGGTCCGTAAGGTGTTTGCAGGAGCCGCAGTACCCCCAGAACAGGCATAGGTTCTGTCACAGTGTTTGCAGCGCCACTCTTCTTTTCCAGTCCGCTCATTGTAGTATCTCGTCTCTATCTCCTCGTCCGGCATATGGGAGAAGATCCATGATGTTCTGGGCTTGATGGATGAAGTTGTAGAGGCTGTGCAAGGTCGGGATTTGGATGTTTCGCTTTCGTCTGGGCTGTGTAAGTGCTGGCCGGAATAGTCCGAAAAGTCTACTGAGATTGACGATTCTCTTCGTTGTGACCATTTTACAAAAGGGAGGCGTTGTTGAGGCATGGTGGTAGGTCCGTCCAAGCTCGATAGTGGTAAAGAAAATGGCCTGTGGTGACAATGGCCGACATGGTCCGTACCAATCTTGGCGCGCGGAAGAAACGCGTGGTCGCGTCCTGGGCTTAACTATAAATAGCGACGCGTGTTAAGTGGAAGTGCGTGCTCACCAATAAAATGCCGAGTATACCTGCCGTGGGGTGTAGGGTAAGTCAAGACAGACCACGGTCAAGAGGCAATTTCGCTTCAGGACCGACAACCCAATATAAATAATATATTGCCAATATGGACATCCTCATATTATATTGGTACAATATCAAAAAGCTCATATCATATTGTGACAATATGAGAAGATCCATATCATATGGTTTGTATTGCAATATACTACTTTATTGCCATATTATTAGCAACACTGTCAAAAACCGAGTTCTTTCCCGCCTTTTACGCCGCTTTTAAAGCTACATTTACAGAAAACAATATCCGGGGAGGTTTTAAAGGAGCCGGGCTTTCTCTTTTTGGCCCTGAAAATGTAATCTCAAAGCTTGATGTGCAGTTACGAACTCCAACGCCTCCCGAGGAGGCTGCTGAACCTTCGACCCCATGGGTTTCAAAGACCCCAAAGACAGCAATTGAGGCTCAATCTCAGTCTGAATACCTCTAAAAGCGAATCAGAAGGCATAAAAGCAGCTCCCCAGAGTCAATAATAGAAGCCTTAAAGTCTAATACCAAAGCAACAAAGGCAGTTATGCATGAGGTCATCTTATTGAGGAGTGAGCTTCGAAACGTTCGGGAGGCAAATGAGATACTAAGCCGGCGCCGAAGGGCAAAAAGGACTAGACTACAGAAAGGAGGGTCTATAACTGTAGAGGAAGCATCGCAAGTAATCGATCAGATAGATGTTGATACGCAGGTAGTGGCCGAATCGTCAAGAAGTGGTGGTCGAGAAAGGTCGGTGCGACCGGGCGGTCGGCGCTGTGGTATATGCGGCACAGCCGGTCATAATGCAAGGACCTGTCAGGTAGTGATTGAGGCATCTGGGGAAGAGCATAGTGAATAGTTTCAATTGATCAGATAGGTTGTTGTGGTTTTAAAGCGATTAAAAGTATCAAGGGTAAGAAAAGTGCGTCGCTCGCTTGTCTGCGTCGCTCGCTTATCAAACACGTTATATAGGATTTTTTTTTAAAAATCTAGGAAAATTAATATAACTTACCGTAGGACTTATATATAAGCTATTTAAATCTTAGCTATTTTAAGCTTAATTTAAAATTTTAAGAATTATTTAAAAAATAGCTTTTAAGGTGAAAAATGGGTTGCGACACTCGCTTATCAAACACGTTATATTAATTTTCCTAGATTTTTAAAAAAAAATTCTATATAGCTAGTATATAAAAAAGCTATTAACATTGTATAAAATAACGTACACGATAAGCGAAACCAACAAATTGTCAGACATTACGTGTATTCGGTCCATTGATCCAGATTGGTATATTCATGTTGTGTTCTGTTGAATTCTACCCCTTAGAGGTTTTACCATTTCGGCTGTAATCTTAAAGCATCCCTGCTTGCACATGAGGCCCCAGCACCTGTTCAACAGTTATGAAATAAGCGAGGCCATCCTGTATGCTGTAGCTATGGAGTTGTTTCATTCTGCTCGACATCATGACCATCAGCCTGGTGGTCACGGAGCTTTGGAGGCCACATGTTTAAAGATAGTCAGGGTAGTCAATACTTCATGGGAAAAGAAGATGTCGCACTGAGCGTGCTTAAAGGGTTAAAGTAAAATGTGTTGAGCAGCAGCAAAAATACGTTGATTGTTGTCTTAAGTTATCCCTTGTGCGGGGTATTCCATCCCGCAGAGTTACTTAAAGCATATAGCTAGATTACTAATGCCTACCCTGCGACAGAAGACGATTGACAAGATCAAGAGTCAATTAAGGAGGGAGAAATCTTGGTTGCAAACATACTGGCGTCGGTAGAGCCCTTGCTAAATTACTACGACGCGGTCACGAAACACGCGCGGTCAAGATACTAATTTACACGTAGGCGCTCAGGAGGTAATATCGCTTTGCGCCACCAAAGTAACGCTATCTGCGAAGGTTGCGACGAAGGAACGAACCAGCCAATGAGAAGGATTATCACGCACTTGTAATCAAAAAAACCGGCGGGGTCGAAAACACTGTCCCTCTTTCAGTGAAAGAGGAACTAGCAGGGGTATAAGCCAATGAGAGATACAGAATTTCCTCTTTCAGTGAAATTGGGACGGACAATAAGGATGTACTACACAGAGTGAGAGCATAATGAAAGCTCCCAGCAAAACAGCACAGAGTAGAAAAGATAGTATATGAAACAAGGCACCCAAAATGGAGGGCAAGTCCCCTCCAAAGGCTCTATTAACTGCCTCATGATCAAATGGCAGTAGAAGACTGCTGACGAGTGCAAGAGCCAGTGCGCTGACAAAGAGAAGCCAGGCTACTGTGAGAAATATGCGGACGGTGTCGTAATGAAATCTTGAGTCCTTATTCAGCTCGGCAGGATCCTGAATCGCTTGGATAATGACTGTAAGGGTGATTGATCCTCCGAAAACGGATATTGCAATTGTGTGTCGGAGAAATTCATCCCACCACCTCAAGGCCAGCCCAGTATTATCAGTACTATCGATGCCATTCTTGTTGCGATTGTTTACGATGTCGACAATGTTTTCTTGGGCTAAACGAATTTCGGCCTGGGTACTGCTTCTGATAGTATCTCGCATAATTCCTTGGCCCTCCCGGATTCCATCCTGAAGCCCGTCATTGACGGCATGACGAATAGGCTCTCGAGCATTACTAAAACCTTCAACAATGGCTTCGCGGACGCTTCTTGCGCATTCTTCTCGGCAGTGTTCTATAGTCTATATAATTCTGGTAAGGGAGATTTCGAATAATATTAAATTTTGTAATCTAATCATTGGATACGTGCTCATTTTGAGAGTCGTGACAACTGTTCTTGGTCTATCGAAGGGTAGCAAGGCATAAGCCCAAGTGTTTATATATATTCATGAAATATAATGAAAGTTTATACTTGCACTATTATTCAGCGGAGTAAGTCCAGAGGGAGTAGGGGTAGGGAGGATTCTAGAGACTAGGGCGTATCAAGCTAGGGTAAACTTTTCAAATTGCTGCAAACTCCAGTTGTCCATATGCCCTGTGACTTGAAATTACGTCACGATACAAATCTGTCCCAAATAAAGTAATGAATTCCCAATTAATTCTAGCTGATAAGGAGACATCTTCTGCCTATAATAACAAGAGCTTTGAGTGCCAAAATCGGCCTGGGCCAAGGAGGCAGGCTGATATCCCACCCGATTGAATCCGGGGGCACAGCTTCACACCTTTCCACGTGGAAGGCAGTCCAGTCGATACGCACCCTCCTGTATATCTTACACTATAAGAAATACCGCCACCATCCTAACTAGCTACAACCTAATTCAGCATATATCTAACCATATTACAAGAGTTGAGTCATAAATTACAGGGCTTAATAACCTGCGACATAGAAGCACTATATAGTTCTTGCCGATAAGCAACTGGACAGTCCTTGTGGGCAAGAAGGAGTGTCTTCAGGTTGACTGTCTCTTCTCTGAGATGGGCGATTTGCGCCATCAAGGTATTGTTCTCCGTAGTGAACAACTCAACCTTGGTCTGTAGCTGGGTAAGCCATTGCTTCCTCCTGAGACGACACTTGTGGGCAGCGACGCTGGTTTGAGGAGTCAGTAAACTGCCACAATACAGAACAATCAGGGATTGTAAGACATACCGATTGCGCTCGAGAAAGTTCTTTCGGTTCTCTTCATTTGTCATCTTTGACATGGACACGCTCTCCTCCAGTCTCATCGTGGACCCTTCATCCGATAAATCCATGTCACTGTTGGTAGCAGCGGCATTGGTCTTGGATTTCTTATTAGTGGGAGCCTGGACCGTGGACTCATCCGCTTTTCGTCGGCCGTTAGTGGGAGAGGGGTTTCTCTTGCCCATGCCTCGAGTATTGAGCCTGGCTTGTTCGCTCTCATCAGAGGCTATACTAATCATACTCATGCCGCGAGCAGAGCCAATTGGATCCCAATTTACCCACGACATTTGCTGCGAAGGGATTATTCTCTGTGGAGCGACAGGAGCAGGGTGAGCGTGACCGGGGACGCCTGAAGTGGCGGCGAACTGGTTCGTACTCTGGGCATAGTTTCCGCCTCGGGCCAACATGTCCTTGTGATGGCAGAGGAGCACCGTTCTAACCACGTTTGGCCGCAGCGAAGAAAACAGCGGAAGGTAAATAGGAACAGAAAAAGGATACTGAGATAGCCCGTGCCGTGGAGTTGCGGCTTGTGCCTGACAAGATGCGAAAGCGTCTCGAAGAGCGGCAAAGCGGTTGTCGGCGGGGTTATGTTCACATGTGAGAATTTGTAAAGGGGCACTCCTGTCATCGGGCGTCCCGTGGCATTTGTGACAGAGTGACAAGTGTAGGCTAGCAACTCAAAAACGCTCGGCGAATAGAATCGAGGATGGCAGTAAGGGAACAGAATAGGCAATCATTGGTTGTCGTATGATTTCTTAAATGCGTGATGACATGCTTTGCCCTCACAATTTACCAGCCGAATATCCATTACCCCTGTCACGCTAAGGTAGCTAGCTGTATCTGTACGGTTTACAGGACGTATTACCCAATAAAACCCACTGTCGAATTTTCGAAGGAGGCCCGATCGCTGGTCAGTGCAAGTGCCCCTGATCGAATTTCAAGTCAAAAGAGGGGTTCAGGCTTTTTAATTGGCTGACTACTTTGCTTTCTTCGTGGATAAATTCCGAGTTCCAAGTGTTTGAATGATCGAACGAGTGGAGGTGTGTACAATGTGTATCCGAGCCTTATCCGGTGTACATATCAAGAAAAATGGAATTTATGGACTTGGAAACATTCATTATTATCATTATCTCTAGTTTTCTGCAAATATGCATCCTAAAGTCGAGTTGACTAATATTATCATGAAACGGCCGTTCGAGAGCACTCAGACTAACTATAATGCAGCTGGTGAACAAAGCGAGACAACTCCATGGCGCCAGCATCCTAGCTAAACCGAGCTATTCCGTAACAGGCCACTCATTATTTCAGCCTCAGCCCAGTAAGCAGTCCGCCAGCGAAGTGGAGGTAGTCTGTTTGGCCAATGATAGGGATTAACTTTATGGAGCTCTGCTGAAACCGAAGCCAACTACTTGACCGTGGCCTGAATCCAAGTGCCAATGCTGGATTTAAAATGTTAGCAACAGAATACGAAAATGTAACGCGCTGTGTCGTCCTGAGCCTGAGCGTAGCGTACACGCAATACCCCAGCCTTACTCTCACTACCCCAACAAAGCATGGCGCCACAGCGCTTTGGCCCTGTAACTAATTGCTTACCCTTAACCGGCTCCTGCTTCAACAAGGCTTGGCGACTGGTATATATGCCGTTTGAACCACGCAACTGAAAAGTGCAAACTAGGACAATACAAGGGATTCCAGGTAGGTGGCTTCGACATCGAGGTCAGCATGCAGAATTCCAGGCCCCAGACCTAACCCCTGAAGAAGAAAAAGGCTGTACTACGTCTACCGAGTTGGTTGTGTATCTGTCCCTCCAAGTGTGAATACCCCTATCCATGGCTCACTCTTGAAAAGGGATTTGTTTTGATATATAGAAGAAACGCATATAACACCCGTGCGTGTGTAAATGTCCCACCAGATTAGTTGTGCCTTAGAAGCCCTCGTTTAGTCCTCTTTCTGCTTGCCACTCGACTGCATTTGAGCATTCTTCATTTTCCTGTAATGGCCTGCATCACCAAACAGCTAAACGGGCCATTCCACCTCAAGTGGGTTCGCAAGCACTTTTATCAAGGCAGCACGACAAGCCCACATATGGAGGTTGGCTCGCAGAAGTGCCCCTGCCAATGTTTCGGACATAAGGTCGTGAGGTCATTTAGGTTTAACAGATCCTCACCTGGGACTGTTGACGACTAAACCGAACCAGAGAAATCCCATGAGGAGGCCTACCAGTACCACCAACCCTCCGATAAGATCTGGGTTAACCCTATGCCTGAACCCAAGGAAACTAGCAAAAGTAACAACTCTCATCTCTCAAACAAGCTACACCATGCCTTTCTGTTCCCTGCCAAGCCTCACTTACTGGGACCCCCGTCAACACCACCTCCAGAAAAACCACTTCCTGAAATCCCCACACAAACTTGACCCCATAAAACATTAGACAGGGTTGGCCGAAAGGAACAGGATTCTCGACCTCCTGGTCGAAGCTCCCCAAACATTGCACAAGAAGCTATGGCAAACTACTCCCCCTTCCCAAAGCGGGCGCCTATAACTCGTCCAAGGAGTTCATCCTATCAGAGAATCCACAAGCCACAGGGGTTAACTTGCGCCAATGCCACTGTCACCAAGCATCATCCTCGACATGTCGTTGAACTCTATCAGGACCCGTCTATAGAGAGAGAACCCTGCATAGATCAAGCAACACTACCCAAGAGCCTAGGGGATTGAGGATATATACTTATCCGATATCATGCTGACTAGAACTGAGAGAGACGGGAACAGAAACCTGGCATAGCTCCTGCGGGATGTTATGCGGCTGACCTTTCTTAATTTCTAATTATCTGCTTTCATCCTTTTTAAGTATACTATGCAGCCCTGGCTTTTACCTAAAAGTATTGTATTTTAAGATAGTTTGTGAAATACCACATGCTTGAGGTCTCAGAAGGTCATGGCAACTGGGTGACGTATTTGACTTTTATTCACAACTGCAAAATTCTTGCATCTAATTCCAACGATAGAACTGTTATATTTTGGCTCCCTGATATTTATTTATTTGTAGGAACTTCAAGGCCATAGACATGCAGTAGTATCTATGACACTCTTATAAGATTCGAGACTCCTGGCATCCGCATCCGAACTTAGCAATGTCCGACTTTGGTCTGTTTACAGTAGGAAATAGATTAAGTATACAGATAGACATCACGACCCAGTGACCTATGTTGCATTTTCTTTCAAATCTAAACTTATAATTTCAACCTGTAAGGTCAGACCATATTGCTCTGGGAGACTCGTAACGAATCATCTTTATAAGCGTATAAGGTACACAAAGGTAGTTAACTCTATCCTCGTTCGGGACCCTTTCTAACTACGCCAAAATCATAGCTTCTCAATTGCTGCTGGTACTTAGGGTTGCTTAGAAATTTTGGCACCAAGTCCTGTTTCTGTTAGCACCAGGTCGAAGGTCTCGAGGGGGGGTTTTGGATAACGAGGTGGGTATTAAATCAACTTACACTAGCCATTAATTTGAATACAACATCTTGAGCTTCCTCGAATAAAAATATTACTTCTTCAAGAGTGTCGATCATGGTAACATCCTGACTCACAGCCTTGGTCATCTGCGTTATAAGACTGTTCCGTAGCTGGTGGTCAATATTAAGCTCGCAAGGCGAGCCAGAAGCAAGGAAAGCATGATAGATTCTATACGACTGAGCTATGCTATCATTGATGCCGGCCTTTGTGGTCATATTGAGCTCCCTACGTGCAGCACGTGTGGCCACTTTACTATTCCGAATAAACTCGTCCACGTCTTGGTAGAATGTCAGGTTCTCCTCGCAATATGTGTCTCGGGATTGCTCGCGGAAGAGAAGTCGCACTGACGGATCTGTCAGGATTTTGTCAAGTCGTTGCGTGTTGGAATCCTTGAAGATACCGTTCCGCTGGTAGTTAGTATAGTGCTCCCTCTCTGGAGACTGTCGTGGTGAATTCGAGCCATTGGTGAGGTCCTTCGCTCGTTGCGTTAACTGATAGATAGCATGCTTGCTGAAATGGAAGATACTGTTCCCAGCGGCTGGATTCTGGAAAGTATATGCCCTGTCCTTGGTCACACAATCTATGAGGCTGTAGGCCATGAAAAGAGTGGCAACCGCAACGGCTTCGCGCTCTTCCATAATGGTGGTATAGTTCATTAACCAGTCGATTATAGCCTTGCCGGTGAAAGTATCGCGGTAGATCTTTCCATTGACCTTGAGCTCAGCAGAAGTCTTGACCTCAGTGATACTATCCCTATATTCGAGCATCGAGCTTGAATCAGCAGCGGTGAAGCTTGACATAGCATTACAGCTATCGGCACCGATGAGTCGACGAAAAACGATCTCAATAGTGCCTTGATCATAGTGAAGTTTGTCAGTTTGTGAGTCTCGTTCAAGGACAACAAGCCGCGTCGCTTTAAGATTAGCAAGTTCAGAAACCTGCTTTTTCTGGATGCCATTTCTTGCGCAGAAACGGTCTAATATAGTGATTCCCTTTGGCGTTAATTGCCAAACAGATCCCTTTATGGTATACACCTGCTGGTGTTTACCATCCGCCGATTCAATAAGCCGGGCGTCAACGAAGCATTGACAGATAGAGCGGGCCACATCCTTGGACATTGAGAATGTGATGGCAGTGGTTGTGTTGATAATACGAGAAGGATCCTTAGGGTCGGGTAGGCGATTGGATTGAGAGAATTTGAGATACATAAGGTTACTGATGGCGTCTTGAGAGAGGAAAGTGTACTCGACCTTTGTCAACCGGACGCGGTGGGCCGAGAGAGGAAGAAGGCTGACAATTAGCGTGGAGAAGATATCCTTAAAGTCCTGTTAGATGAGACATTCAGCCAATAGCCAATATCCCAGCGAGGAATGAGGTTTCGAGAACTGTCATAGCAGTGACGGCCATGTTTTATACTTGGCCTCAGTATGCCAGACAGGCGTGTCAAGCGATGCAGAGAGTCATGATACATACCTTACTGAACGGTCGGCCATCGTCCACCATGCGAAGCAAATGCAACGATGACTGATGCATTTTGATATCGCAGAGAGATTTGATAAGAAGCAAGAGATTTGAGGGTGCTGCTTGAAAGAACAAGGTTGCTTTGCCGTGTGAGTGCGTTAGACGGAAGAGACTGGCGTGAGTTTGTTACTCAAACAGTAGTACTTCTTCGTCTCCAGCGCTTCGATGAGGTTCTAGAGCTGTTGAATACCGCAAGAGTACCATTGGACAGGCGAGGTCGTACAGGCTTTGGCTTCGAGATGCACGCAATGACCTTTTGGGTACGGTCGAGGAAGGCCTCAGTCAAAGCGGGAATACGACTCAGCGAACACTAGCTGGAGGTAAAGACGGAAACGATGTAACGGTAACCGCCAAGACGTCTAGTAACGTGAGCGGGAATAAGCGGCGCGGCACCGTCGGCTGAAAGAGAAAAGAATAGTATGTCTTTGGGTGGCACAAGGCATCAACAGGTCACTCGCCCCACTTAGCTGACTAACCACGCTAGTACCTGCGGGGTACATGAAGTTCTCGTCAGACAGCTTAATGATTTTCCACCACCAAATTCATCAAAAACCTCACATAAATAGCCCCTAGCCTGTCGTAATTAAAACGATGAGCTCTTCAAAGATACAAGATAGCTTAGATGATCACAGCTTTGAGACCCCTCCTTTGAGTGACCCCACCGGCGTGCCTAATTTTCCGCCCGAAGAGGGCCGCGGTCAGGATTTTCAACCTTTCAAGCTAGAATATCGTGATTTCAAGATCAACCCTCTACCCAAGGAACCCCTTCAATTATTCCAGCTTTTTATACCTATTTCCCTCGTACAGTCATGGATTAAATACACCAACAGCTGGGTCTCTTATCTCCAAGAAAACAGCGTTATTGACAACTGGAATACCCCTGTTTCTGAACACTCACGCATCCTCAAGTGGGAAGGCCTCTCTTCTGCAACAGCTTATGTATGGCTTGGAGTCGTTATTTACCTAGGAATTCATAGGGAAATCTCAATAAAGGACCATTGGAAGGCACCTAGCCTAGGACATCAACGCCCTCTTCACTCAATCATCAAGTTCATGCCCTTAAGGAAGTTTCAACTGATCAGCCGGTATTTTCGCACTTTTAACTAAACCAAAGTCGATGTGAGGGATGCGGGGGATCTTCCAAAGACCTTCCAAGCGGCTGAAGAGTGGTCTGACCTTATACAGAAGGTGTCGAATGAGCTCTATCTTCCAGGGACTAATCTGACTGTAGATGAGTGTATGGTGCCGTTTACAGGCAGATCAAAAGAGACAACGCTTGTCAAGGGAAAGCCCACACCGGTAGGCTTCAAAGTCTGGGTTATCGCCCAACAGGGCTTCTTTCTGCGGTGGCTTTGGCACGTGAAGGCATCACCATATACCGCTGTTATTATCAACCTACCTACGCCGAAGCCGGTAGGCAAGAAGGGAAAGCTACGGACCGAGATCCCTCTCAGTAATACACAGAGCGTCGTGGTTCACCTAGTGAAAAGGCTGCTTCCTCAGACATATCACGTCTTCACAGATAACCTCTTCTCGTCACCGCAGCTCTTCCGCCTCCTTCGGCAGCTTGGCTTTGGTGCCACAGGCACGGCACGCCCTAACTGCGGCATTAGCACCGAGATGAAGCGGATAAAAGAGACCGGCAAAGCTCCTGATGGCACGCCTTTGAGATATAACGAGGTCATACTGATCCCGACGGAAGACAAACAGGTATAGATGACTTTTAGCTATATTTCCCTTACTAATTCGTCCCTTTTTATTCCCCCTAGGTCATCCAAATCGCTTGGAAGGATAGCAGCGTGGTGCTCTTCATTTCAACTGTGCACACTGGCGCCCCTCACGAGCACACACTAAAAAAGAGGAAGCTGCCGGCTAAGAGAGGCACGAAGGCAGAGGCACAACAGCTGCAGCGCCTTTTCAACGGGAATAGCTTCAAAATGATCCCTATACCTACTGTTGCTGCTCAGTATAACGATGAAATGAATCACGTGGACCGCGGCGATCAGATAAGGTCCTATACAACGTACGAGCATCGATTCCGCCGTGGTCCGTGGCAGGCGTTGCTTTGGAGCTTCCTCCTCGAAGTCGCACTTGCGAATAGCTTCATTTTACAAAAGAAGACCCGGCACCCTCGTTGGAAGCCCTACGGCACGCTACAAGCTTGGAAGGAATGCATCTGCAACGCGATTTTCAACACGTATGCTGCTGAAGGCGGCACAAGGAAGAGAAGCCGGTCAGGGAAGGAAGAAGACATCGAGGATATAGAAGCACGGCAAAATCACCTACAAAGAGATATCAATCATGTCCGCCGAGGCAGCTATTCGCCTTGCCTAGCTTGCAAGGGCTGCCGGCAAGGGCAGCCTCGACCCTTTAAAAAAAGGAAGGAAAAAGGAGGCTATCTCGAGCCGATATCAGGAAATCAGGGGTGCCAGAAGACTAGGTATGGTTGCAAAGTATGTGATGTAGCGATTTGTAACAATGCTGACTGTTGGTACCTCTATCACACGCCAATTTAGGTGTGGGTAGAATGTACCGATCGTCGCGATCATTTTGATTGGCCCCCGACCCTAGTCGTGACCTCCCTGATGCCTTGTGCCACCCAAAGAGATAGCTCTTCCAGTCCGGGAGGGAGGCCTAGGAATTCCTTTACATAAGGAACTAGCAGCTCAGCTATATCAGGCAGCTAAGGAAGCCTCCCAACCTACCCTAAATGCTATTAGAAAGCACCCTCCTATAAATACAGGCCACCTTCCTTTGTCATCACACTTTCTTGGCATACAAGTGTTAAGAAAGTGGCCCTGTCTACACCTAAATCCTTAACAAGTGCACAACAAACATTCCAATCTGCGCTTTGCGCAGTCGCAAACCGCGGCGATGGCCTCGTCTACGACGATCCCGCCCGCTGCCTTGGATCCCTTCGATCTGGGGATCCACACTCCCGTCAACCTGAACCGGGGAGCCCGTGCAGCCCTCTTGCAGAACAGTCCGGCAGCCGTCAACGGCACCATTGGTGTTTCACCCGGTCCCAGGCGGATGGCTCAGACACCATCCTCACCACTCAACCCCGCCACCATCGCCGCAGTTACGGAAGGAGCTGAGCGTGCCAGTCCCGCATCCATTTTTGAACAACGACCGATCTCTATCGTTGAATCAGCCAACGATCTCGCGCGAGAATACGTGGAAGAGTACAACATCAAGCTGGGGGTTTTCCAGGCCTTTTGTGCCAAATTTGAAGAAGCGGCCCAGCAATTCGTCACCGGACCGCAACGACGTTTCGCTCAGCAATTTGCCGATGATTTCCTCGGCTTTTGGAAACGAGAGCTCTCCTGCTCCGGACCTGCGACCCCAAAGCCTACATACAGCAGCGTCGCTGCTGCCGCGCCTCCCACTGACCATGACCGTCTGACCCACAGACAACAACAACAACATGGACGCCGACAAACAGATCCACCTCATCGCCAAGGGCAACAGACGACTATCGCCCCACCCCGACAAGACCTCCGTGTCTTCATCCGTCTAGAAGCCGGAGCTCCGGCCAGGGCCCACAGTAGCTATGCCATCCGGACTCTGATCCGGGAAAAACTCGGCGCCGTCTCGGACAAAATTCGACAGGTGTTCCCGGTCAGATCGGGATGGGCCGTCCTGGCCGCCGACTCTGTCACACGCGACTTTCTGGTAGATAAACAAGCTGAGTGGGCCGCTGAACTGGGAGCTACAGCAGTAGAAACGAACAAGGAATGGTTCACCTATGTGGTCTCAGACGTTCCCGCAAGGCTGACTGACTTTTACGGTAATGAGGTGGATAGTGACAGCGTCGTTAGCGACGAGATAGAAGTCCAGACTGGGATCAAGCCCATTGATGTACGTACCGGAAGACAATTCTCGGATAACCCCTTGACCAAGGCCCTGCTCGTGTCCTTTCTGAAGCCCACAAAGAGATTCTGGTCTCTTTTCGGCAGCAGCGCAGCCAGGCTTGTTGACAAAACCGACCGACCCAGACAGTGTGAGACGTGCTGGGGCTACCACTTTGCCCGCAACTGTCACAGACAGCCAGTTTGCCGACGCTGTGGTGAGACTGGCCATCTTGTAGACGATTGCATCGCACGAGAACAGTGCATCAACTGCTTAGGCCCCCACCAGGCCAACTTCCGTAGGTGCCCAGCTCGGCCAAAGACAGTGCACGGCGTGCTCCGCCGACTCACTAAAGAGCAACGAAAGCATGTCCGGACCGTAGGTGCGGAGACATACCGACAACGACATCGAGAACGGCATCTGGAATCGCATCAGGAAACGCAGCAGGGCATGGCTGAGCGACGAAGCGTGGATGTCACATCACAAGAACAGCCTAACCATCGTGCTCCCAGCCCAGCTGTATCAGGAGCACCCTCGTGCATCATGGTGGCCACGACCCCTCATGCTGGCTATGAAGCAGAGGAAGAACCCGAACAGCCCAGACCAGGCTCACCGCGAAAGCGCCGAATCGTACTCATCACTCGTCCTCATGACCGGGAATAGATATTCTCAAACACGAAAGAACGACAGGAAGCCGCTCAAGATCTTCCAGGCCAACGTCGGCAAGATCCCTCCGGCCCACGACTGCGCCCTGGCGCTGGCCGACTCGGAACGATATGACATTGTGCTCTTGCAAGAGCCGTGGACGGCTCACACAGAGACCCGCTGTCTAACCAAGACTCACCCTGCATACGACACATTCACGCCGGTCGACATGTGGAATAGCAACGATACTCGGCCTAGAGTGATGACATATGTCCGGCGAGACCCCAGACTCCTTGCCGACCAAATTCGGCCCTTCCAGACCCGAGACATTCTCTGGCTCGCGATCAACGGCATGACCATAGTCAACTTCTATCGTCAGAACGACGAGAGGGACGCCCTAGACACGCTATTTCAATGGTCTGTCCCGGAACGTTGCCTCGTAGCTGGCGATTTCAATGCCAGACATCGTAGCTGGCAAACAGGCCAAACTACGAACCGGGGGCAAGAGATAGCAGGATGGGTGTCTGAGAATGACCTCAGCCTTCTCAACACTTTAGATATCCCAACAAACCCGTACGGCAACACAATCGATCTTGCCTTTACTAACCTACCACTTGCTGAAGCTATCGTCGAGGACCATCTCGCCACCAGCTCTGACCACTTCACGCTCAGCCTGACCTTCCCAGACGTCAGATCGACTCCGGTGCAGCCAGGCAAGATTCGAGTGACGACGGAAGACGAGCTTAAACGATTCGTCGAGATCGTAGAGCTTGGCGCTACAGGAATCCCCCTCACAGATTCGACCCCCGAGGAGCTGGACGAGCTTGCGTCTTCACTCGTGAGTCTACTAACATCAGCAGCAAAAGCGTCTGGGAGGCCCGCGCGGAAAGGCGGACG